TCAACTTTTGATGGAACAAAAGCAACATGCCCATTTTTTAGACAACAACTCCATCGATACCTTTTGAGATGAATTGAAAAAATTGTTTACTGATTAGTCGTTATGTCGTAAAGAAGTTTATGAAATTTCATAGGGAAATGTCTAACAGGAAATTAAATACAATCAATACAAAAGAGTGTTGTCAGTGCGAAAAAATCCAAGCCAAATCAACTTTGATGGAACAAATACAACACACTCGTTGTGGAGACGATAACTCCAGAAATACTGTTCATGTCCAATTGAAATTTGGTTGGTGCATTTGTTGGGATGTCGTAAAGAATCCTGTGAAATTTCAGAAGGAAATGTCAAACACTAAATGTAATACAACTAAAACCATAGAGTGTGGTCAGTGCGAAAAAAACACACAACAATCCAAATTAATGTCAACTTTAATGGAACAATACACCATACTATGTTGTGGAGATGACAACTCCAGAAATACCTCGTGCAGTCAATTGAAATTTGATTTGTGCATTTGTCGTGATGTCTTAAAGAAGCTTTTGAAATTTCAGAAGGAAATAATAAAGACTAAATTTAATACAACCAAAAACAAAAGAGTGGGGTAAGCGCGAACAATCAAATCGAAGTTAATGTCAATTTTAAAGCAACAAAAACAACATACTCGTTGTGGAGACGATAACTCCAAAAATACCTTTCATGTTCAATAAAAATGTGGCTTGTGCATTTGTCGGGATGTCGTAAAGAATCCTTGTACATTTCAGAAGGCCACATTAAATACTAGATTTACTACAACCAAAACATTAGAGTGAGGACAGCGCGAACAATCCAATCGAAATTAATGTCGTGTTTAATGCAACAAAAACAAAACAACATACAAGTTGTGGAGACGATAACTCCAGAAATACCTCTCATGTTCAATTGAAATTTGGTTTGTTCATTTGTCGTGAAAATTAACAAACAAAATTAAATCACGGTGTCCAGAAAATCGACCTTACAATTAAACAGAAAAACATCCCACCTATGCCACACGATAACTCAACAACTATTTGTTGGATTGGATTAGATTGAAATCTTGTCCAAAGGTTGAGCATGATTGGCAACACAAGCATGTTCAATATTGAGAGAAAACAAATAGATTATCGGCGTTAATAGAATTGTTAGTAAAATATACAGACGATTGTGACACATTATGAACAATTACTCAACAAAATATTGAGTTAATACATTCAGTATTTCTTGAGATATTGCCCGAACCATGGGTGTCTTCTTTCCACTCCGAACTAGTGAGGCATCCGTGTTGACGCTGTGCGGGCAGTAGTGCCCAAAGTGCATTTGGAAAAAGTGTTTGGGTAAAACATCCTTGAAAAAAAGTGAAACAAAGAACTCCTTAGGAATTTCTTGGGTTATAGCCCAAAAAGGAGTGTGACTTTTTTTTTTTCATGAGCGTTGCTTTCATTTGGATTTTATTCTTCACGTTTATAACACTATCATATTTTCTTTCTTGTTAGACTAGTTCCCATGAAAATACACTCCTCGATGTGATACATTATGAAGAATTATTGGACGGAATTTAAAATATATGCAATCAGTATAAAATCGGGACCTATCACCCGAACCATTGAGTAGTTTTGTCATGTAGGATGACATCTATTCGGAATTTATTTTCCAGGTTTAACACACTAAGTTGTTTCTCGTCAAATTAAATTTCTGAATGTGACACATCATTACAAAATAACTGGACGAAATTTCAGTATGATATATGTGGTACATGTATTTCACAAGTTATTGCTCTAAACAACGAGTGGTTTGTTGTATTGGACGTTGACTCATTCGGATTGTTGTTCACGGTTAAAACACTCAGTTGTTTCGGTCATATTTGTTTTGTTGTTTGACGAGTTCTCGTGAAATTATACTAGCGATCGTGACACATTAGGAAAAATTACTCGACGAAATATCGAGTTAATATATTTAGTACTTCTTGAGATATTGCCCGAACCATGAGTGTCTTCTTGTTACTCAAAACTAGTGAGGCATCCGTGTTGACGCTGTACAGTAGTGACCAACGTACATGTGGCGCGCCCTCTATTGAAAAAAAAAAGAAGTATTAGGCCAAAAAAAAAAAATATTCGGTCTCTGGTCAGACCAAAGTTTCGGAATTGACGCGGCCACGCGTTTTTTTTTTTTTTTTTTGGCTTTGTTTTTTTTTTCTTCAAGCTTGGATTGTACAGACAAGGTGGTTACTATTTTGCTTTTTTGGTGTCCTCATGTACATTGGTGTCCTCCATAATTTACCTTGGTGCTTTCGATCATTTTGCCTTGGTGTAATTTCTAATTCCTTGGTGCTCTTTGGTAAAAAAGTTGAGGAGGTGCGGAAATAAAGGGCGCTGTTGGAGCTACCGCGGAACATTTTGGAAAAACAAAGATCGACGCGCATGATTAAAATCGACGCGCGCGCTGACCACAGACCGACTTATTTTTTTGTTTTGACTTATTTTTTGTTTTGGCCTTAAACCGCTCGGTACATTTGTCACCGTGCAAGAAAAAGAAGACAGAAAAGTGAAGTTTGAAAATGTGTTTGGGTAGAACGACCTTGAATAAAAGTGAAACAAATGAAATTCTTTGGAATTTCTTGGATAATTGCCCAAAAAGGAGTGTGACTTTTTTGCCATAACATTGCTATCATTCGGATATTATTTTTCACGTTTAAAATACTAAATTGTTTCGATCTCATTTTCTTTCTCGTTGGACGAATTTCCATGAAAACATACTCCTCAATGGGATAAATTATGAAGAATTAGTAAATCGTGACTTATCATCCGAACCACAGAGTATTTTTGTCATGTACGATGACAATCATTCGGAATGTATTATTCAGGTTTAACACAATGAAGGCAAATGTTCTGTTTGGACTGTGACTGCAGATTCGCAAGCGTTTCTCACTGATGAACCAAAACATTATTGATGGAGAGAAAACCAGTATTTTGTCTCAATATTGTGTCTTGTTTGTCTATTTTTCATGACCAATCGTCTGGCCACAATTCAATTCTATGCATCATTTAATTTTTGAGCGAGCGTGCCTCGAGGACTGTGTCGTTTCTGTGCAAAAGTAAGGCATATGTTCTGTTTGGACTGTGACTCCAGATTTGCAAGTGTTTCTCCGTGTTGACACAAAACACTACTGACGGAGAGAAAACCAGTATTTTGTCGCAATATTCTGTCTTGTTTGTCTATTTTTCACGACCAATCATCTGGCCACAATTCAATTCAATGCATCATTTAATTTTTGAGTGAGCGTGTCCAAGAGGACTGTGTCGTTACTGTGCAAAAGTAAGGCAAATGTTCTGTTTGGACTGTGGCGTTCAATATACTCGTGAATATTTTCGGTACACTGAGACTTCCTTTTGGTGACTACAATATTGGCTTGTCTTAATATTTTATAGGCTTATTCTACCTGTCCCCAACAATAATTAAGAAATGTTTCAAACCAGTACGACAGGTATTTAAGAACTTATTGTTCAAGCAATGCGTGGGCTGTTTCTGCGCGTTCAATACTCCGGAAGATTTCTGTACACTGAGATTTCCTTTGGGTTAAGTTTTTCTCCGTGATGACAAAAGAGTTTTTTGGAGACTTCAACATTGGTTTGTCTTAGTATTTTATAGCCTGATTTTACCTGTCCTCAACAATAATTGAGAACAATTTCAAACAAGTACAACAGGTATGTATTAAGTTATTGTTCAAGCAATGCGTGGGCTGTTTCTGCGCGTTCAATACTCGGGAAGATTTTCTGTACACTGAGACTTTCTTTGGGTAAAGTTTTTCTCCGTGATGACAAAAAAGTTTTTTGGAGACTTCAACATTGGTTTGTCTTAGTATTTTATAGCCTGATTTTACCTGTCCTCAACAATAATTGAGAACAATTTCAAACAAGTACAACAGGTATTTATTAAGTTATTGTTCAAGCAATGCGTGGGCTGTTTCTGCGCGTTCAATACTCGGGAAGATTTTCTGTACACTGAGACTTTCTTTGGGTAAAGTTTTTCTCCGTGATGACAAAAGAGGTTTTTTTTTAAAGACTACAACATTGGTTTGTCTCAATATTTTATAGGCTCATTTTACCTGTCCTCAACAATAATTAATAGAAGTTTCAAACCAATACGACAAGTTTTGAAGAACTTATTGTTCCAGCAATGCGTGGGCTGCTTCTGCGTGTTCTGTACTCCGGAACATTTTCTGTCTACTGAGACTTCTTTAGGGTAAGGTTTTTCTCCGTGATGACAAAAGAGTTTTTGGAGACTTCAACATTGGTTTGTCTTAGTATTTTATAGCCTGATTTCACCTGTCCTCAACTATAATTGAGAACAATTTCAAACCAGTACGACAGGTATTTATCAAGTTATTGTTCAAGCAATGCGTAGGCTGTTTCTGCGCGTTCAATATACTCGGGAAGATTTTCTGTACACTGAGACTTCCTTTGTGTAAAGTTTTTCTCCGCGATGACAAAAAAGGGGTTTTTTTTGGGGGGGGGGGGACTATAAAATTGGTTTGTCGTACTATTTTATAGGCTTATTTAACCTGTACCTCCACAATAATTAAGGGAAATTTCAAACAATTACGTAGGCGCGGTTCTAGAGCCAATATTATGGGGGGGGGGGGCTGGGGGGGGGGGGCTCGTCGCATATTTTTAATGGGGAGCGCCGATAAAATCATACAATCAGGCACACTTTATTAACTAAAAGTGTACAAATGCACCTTCTCATTTAGGGGGTGACGTTCCCATGTACGTCAAATTCTTACATTTTGCTAGTCCTCAACAACAATTAAAGGAACATTTCAAATCAGTACGACATGAATACTTGATAGGCGCATTAAGCACATCATACGACTGAGGACCGTTTTCAACAAAAGACCCAACGCTCGATCGAGGACGGAAAGGATATTTTGTTCTTCCTTTGTGTGTTTATCCTCGATCGTAAAGCTATCACAATCCGCAAACTCGTCATGTCTTGGTCTAATAAACATTTTTATTCAACAGCTCACACATTTTCAGCGCCCATTATTATTGTTCCAACAAAGAGAAATAAGGTGAACTATTTTCGGCCCCTTTTGAACCAATGGTTCGAAATACATAAATGCCCCAAAAACCCACAGGACGAATATCTGTTATAATACACATTAAGTGATTCCTTACCGTAATGCCTCAGCACACTTCGTCAACGATGTGCGTAATTTAGTGCAATTCCAACGTATTTAGGGCTGATATATATTTTAGTACAAAAGGTTACAGAAAACGTGTTTCTACATTAAATACAAGTCTATAAAGCCTGTCATGTGACAAATCATGTGACAAATCATGTGACAAGTCATGTGACAAGTCATGTGACAAGTATGTGACCAGTCACGTGATCAGTCTCTTGCAACCGTTGCCATAGCAATTACGTTGGCTTCATGTGACTTCGGTTTAAAACTACACAATAAAGGGAACTTATAATTACTATTTATGTATAATTCATTTAACTTCATGAATAGGCAAATTGTTGGGGCAAATTTTAAATTTTTCCGTGCAGTACACTTTTGTATCCAGTAACATTTTATAATTACATCTTCTGTTGCTTCTTTAATATCAGAATAATCCTATTAAAGAGCTTTTCTGGTAGAATTCGGGTGTTGCCTTTCAAAGTGTGACGGTGAAAAACACCACTTGGGTTAGCAGGTTTCACTATTCCAACTTGGCTAACGCAGACAAAAAAGCGCCTTTGCTTTTGCCCAACTTTAATATGACAGAGTAAAACTTTGAAAATCCTGGCACCGTTTTATTTAGGGGCTAGAAAAGAAAAAAGCCCGAAAATCATTCTAGTCCCAAGATTTACTTGAAGCGAACTTATTTTTTTCAAACCAAAAACCTCTCCAGAAATTTCAAACCAGTTCCAAATAATGAATATTACTCATTCCTGCAATGAAAACGCAGCTCAATAACTTTTTTTTTTAAATTCTGGAACCATACCCCAGAGAGATGTTACGAAAGGGTAAAGTTTTGTAACCATTACATCAAATCCAAATAAAATAGTTTACAATGTATATCCACATATCGAAAAAAATGGTGTTCTATTTTGAATAAGAATTGAATAAGATAATATTTATAACCAACCATTTGAGAACGTGCTCTTATCAGGAAGCATCAAAATTGTGACAAGTTTGAAGACATTTCCAGGCTCCGAGACAATTACCTCTTAGGGGCCTACCAAAATCCAACAAGTTCTCACAATAAAAAGAGACGAAAAAAGGAGAAAATATTCAACAAAGACCATATCTTTTCAGTATTGGATATGAAAGACAAGTTCCATTTCAAACCTAGGAATAAAGTCAAAATATCAGAAAGTTCATCAGTAAACCATAACGGTAACCATGGTGACAAACAAAATTACTAACTAGGAATGTCCAGACGAACTCCCAATGCTACATCATATAGACATCATCTGAGGAATTCATTTTGTTGGGGTGTTTTTTTTTCTTTTTCTTTTTTTTTCTTTCCGTACGAATTATGCTACATGCTGAATACACAAGCAACTAAGTTTATTTACTGAAACTACGGGGAGTAAAACTCGAAAATTAATATCAGCATTTAAAGCACATGTATACATTGACACTATGTATAACGTTTCAATAAATTTCTTATTTTGATTTTAATAAATCATTGCTCCGTTTTACTTTATACAAATATAATCTGTGATTAATCAACAATGGTTATAGCATATTGTAGATACGCATGATTCTAAACATACTAACTTACAGTTATGGACAAAAACAATACAGTTTATTTAAACACATAGAAATTGCAGGGAAGGTTGTTTTTTTTACGAGATATCAAGACCTAATAATCAGTTTCCATTTTAGTTTTGGACAGTCAGTTGACCTCTGACCCAATTCAGTGTGGTCATGGCAACAACAAAGGTCAAAGGTTACCGGGAGTCGTACATTTGCCAGCCAACATTTCAGAGTACTATGAACAAATGTTCTGCCAATAAAAAAAACATAATTTATCTCAATACTTGAGAAAAGCCTTTAAAATTTAGGGAAACTTGAAAATATTCTGGACCTCTGTACAACATGCTTAAACTATAGGTGGACAGGCCACAGTTAATAAACAGTGTAAATGTTCAAAACAACTGCAATTCACAGTATTTACAGAACTTGTCTGTTTTGGGGAAAAGGAAACCCTCACCTTGTTTTTACAAACAGGATTAGTGTAAATTTATATGTCATTAGGGGGTGCGCATCTGAACCCGATACCCGGGCACCCTAGTACCCAAGTACCCGGGTACCTGATGTACCCAAGTACCCGGGTACCTGATGTGCCCAAGTACCCGGGTACCTGATGTACCCAAGTACCCGGGTACCTGATGTACCCAAGTACCCGGGTACCTGATGTACCCAAGTACCCGGGAACCTGATGTGCCCAAGTACCTGATGTACCCAAGTACCTGATGTACCCAAGTACCCGGGTACCTGATGTACCCAAGTACCCGGGTACCTGATGTGCCCAAGTACCTGATGTACCCAAGTACCTGATGTACCCAAGTACCCGGGTACCTGATGTACCCAAGTACCCGGGTACCTGATGTACCCAAGTACCTGATGTACCCAAGTACCTGATGTACCCAAGTACCCGGGTACCTGATGTACCCAAGTACCCGGGTACCTGATGTACCCAAGTACCCGGGTACCTGATGTACCCATGTGCCCGGGTACCTGATGTACCCATGTGCCCGGGTACCTGATGTACCCATGTACCCGGGTACCCGACCAGTGATGTCAGGAACCGGTTCCAGATAATGGGATGGGTACCCGTTACCAACTTTACAAATTACTTAGTAACTTTTCAGACAATGAAAAAGAAAGGTTTTGAATGCCATTCGTGGGAATTTAGAAATGAAAACCTGGCTATGTACATTGTAATGTGCAACACATGACACTTTTGAAAGTTGCAGTTTGCACCGTAAAGCTATAAAGCCCTTCAAACAACTTTTGGGATTTGAATTTTGGGGTTGGGTTCCTTTTACGGGTACCCGGGTACCCATGTTTAGCTTCAATAGGGTACCCGGTTCATGTCCTATGCACACCACTATATTTCATACATTTTTCATATTCTTCGATTATATTGTGCATATATACGCCATTCAAATCATATGAACATGGACATATTATTTGTTATTGAAATGAAATAAGTTCAGTGGATTATAAAAAGTGATGAAATGGGGTTTTGGTAAAATTCTAGTTTGTATGTTTTCTTATTCAATAACGCTAGAAGAGTACGCTGACGGGAAAGTGTACCTTCAATATATCACATTGGATATACAGACATGTACATGTATCATGAACTTAGCAATATCAAATATGAATATATGATAAATGATGCTACCAAAGAACACAAAAAAATTGAAACCTGTTGGCCTTTTGTTCAGTAAAGTATTTATAGAAATGCACGCCAATTGAAATTAATAAAATCCACCGTAATACCTGACGCGTCCCGTTTTACTTTTTAATACAAAATTATAACAATCTGCACAGACACAACATATCCCCAGTGGTTAACGCAATGTGCTGCTTCAAACAGGTTTGAACCGGTTCATACCACTTCCAGCTGGATTACACACAGACGCAGAGGTGCAAGCTAGATCAAACCAGCATGAGCTGCTTTCAGACAAGCCTGGGTGTATATGGAACCAGATCAAACTAGTTTGAGCACATTCAAACTCTGGCTTAACACCCATGTGCATACAGGAAACAGGCTGCACAGAACCAGTGCAAACCGGTTTGGACCAGTTTCAGCTAGCTCTCATTATACATTGAGTAAACAATACGCAGGGATATGTAGTTGGAACCAGATCAAGCTGGTTATAGCAGCTCCAAGCTGGCTTTTACATACAGATACAGCCTGTCCAATGGAACTAGTTCAATCCGGTTACAGCTGCTTAGAACTGGCTGGATAAGAGTGTTCCCAACTCCTTGGCCACTTCCTCTTTACTGCTGCGTAACGTCAAACGATACATCTACAAAGACAAAGAATGGAAAGAGTGCAAAGTCTGCGGCAAGTGTTTCTGCTTGGGATGGCCCGACTATAATTTTCCTGGACTAAGCACAGTTTTCATGGCAGAACTCATCAAGACTTGTATACAGGGCGAGTAAACAAAACCAACAGAAACCCGAATGGTGCCCCCTATTTTTTTTAAAGAAGTTCTGTATGTAGCACTTTCCCAATCTAGGATATGAAAGCACAATTCATAAGCTTTCTTTTAGTGAAAGAACTACTTTTCTAGTAATGGAAAGTAAGTTTTATTTTTTAACCTTGTCCTAAGATCACAATAAAGGTAGGTGATATTACAGCAAATTGAAAAACACACACATTCTTGTTCTGTAATTGTGGGGACTTACACTCGTCTGTGCAAGGTATTTGTGGGGACCGAAAATGCTGTGGGGACAGCAGAAAGTCCCCACAACTCGGTCCTAATTCGCCTAACAATAAAAAACTTCCCCATAACGCGGTGTATGCCTACCCTTCAGAACACTCTCATAACCATGATAATTGGCACTTACCAAAACATTTATTGAAAAACCTGCTGCTTCCTATGTTAAAATAACATGCTTTTATAACGTCAATAGTTTATAGTCTTGCCCTGCCTTCTACTTGGCTACCCAAGAGACTTAAGGGATCATTCGGAAACAGTTTTCAGGAAACGACATGAAATATCACATACCTTGAATGTGATCCATGGACAAGGTTAAAAAACAGTGTTTGTGTTCAAAATTCCATAAATGGAAAAGTACATGAGTGATTAGAATGATTCTTTCACTAAAAGAAAGCTTGTTACTTGGGCTTTCATATGCTACATGTAGATTTGGAAAACGCTACATGCAGAAATTCTTGAAAAATAGGGGGCACCATTTGGGTTTGCTTTTTTTTTAACTCACCCTGTATTTGCCGTTTCGTTCATGTTGCAAACACAAATAAAGAAATTAAATACAAGTATGTTTTTCAGATATTTTGCAGCACGTGTGAGCAATGTGTACATATGACATGATTTGTAAATGCATGCTCTCTAATGTGCCATGCATGAGCACAGAGTAGCAGTGTCCCAACTATATACTTGGGATGGCCCAACTGCAACATTTGCGACCCAACTGCAACATTCGAGACGGTCCTAATTTTAAATGAGACGGCCGTAAAGTTGGGGCCACAGACATTGTAATATCCCAGATCTGACTTTCCTATACTTTTAAGTTGGACGTTTCTGGCACTGAAACCCTGTATCCTATAACCACCATGTTACGCAAACGCTCGCTGTGATCATAAATAATGCACGTCATGTGCGCAAATTAGCCTTTGTGTCACATGGCGGTTATAGGAGTCAGCATTTTGTGGTCAGAAAATTCAGCCGATTGTCGGGCCTCAGTTTTCACAAAGTGCCCTCTAGAGTTGATCACATACAACTTGATAATTACAAGTGTACTTACCAGCGCAGCCTTGTTGGGTTCCAAGCGGAGTAAGACGCCAATTTGTGCAGACTTGCAGTGAACGATACCAGCACACACAAAGTTGTCAGGGTTGGGGTCAACGCCCTCCAGCAGACCGATGCCAAAGCCCATCAACTGTCAGGAAAAATCAATTAGTTGTGATCACATCTGAGGTACAGTGAACTCTGGCTACGTCGGCACTCTCGCGACCCGAGAATTTGTGACGGCTTACGCGAATGCCGACATCTGCTGTGTCCATGAATGGCCTTTTGCACACATGATTCATTGCACCTACTGGCTTTGATTTACCCTGGTTTATCTCCTTAATGCTTGAGTTGAATCCAGCAAATTAATCCTCGAATTGTATCATCACGTTTGGGATATTGAAAGTGGAGACCACGTGTACAAAATAGTAATACATGTACGTGCACAGTAACGAATTAGATGCGTACATGGTCAGGTTTACCACGCGCATTGACTGCAGCACTAGTCATTCAATAAGACGACCCCCAAAATGGACAGAGCGCATGCGTACAGCCTAGAGGGGGTACTGGTATTGATATGCTCACGATGCATATGCAATGTATGCAGTAGGACACCATTTTGCGACACCGATGCACGCAGCGATCACGGGCCGTGCCAAACCACTTTTCACTCAACACTTCTTGCCAACCACAGTACAGGAAGTCGACGCCAATGCGTTATTTGTTGAATGCCGACTTACACAAAGCATTTTGTATTGCTTTTTATAGAAAGGGGACTGAGAGTAACACAACAACTTGAGCAAAATGGCGACTTATAAAAGCCGACTTAAAATTTAAAAATTCAATGGAAATGCATTACGGACAATCGGGACTTTAGTCAGACGGCCGACTTGAGTGATTTGACGAGTTGTACGATGTCGGTTGAGCCGGAGTTTACTGTATATAGGTGCGAGTCTATGCACCAGTACCATTTCCCTAGTACTATTGACTGGTTGGGCAAATATTATGTCTTAAGTAGAGTAGACTATTTGTAATTTGTGCATTTTTTCTGATTTGCAACAACAAAAGTGTTCAAAATCTAAAGATGGATGCTTAATATCCTGATGAAGTTTGAGCTATGATAATGCTGTATGTTTTCAAGAAAACAGAGCAACATATTATCACAATATTTTGGATCTCTATTTTAATTAAAAAGTTAGAGAGAGGGGTGGGATAGAGAAGGGGGGGATATACTTACTTTGGTTTTGTTGCCATCTCTGTCCATTGGGAAATTGGCCTTGAAGATATTCTGGTACTCATGCGCTGGCCTGCAATCAGTAACCAAAAATATGTGAATTGATTACTTATGGATACAGAATTAAATAGACTCTCAGTGTTGCCCACGACAGACTGGCCAAGAATATTTCCTGAAACCTCAAAGTACTTGGAAGCTCCATTTTAACAACTCCAAAGGACTGGAAAGACAAGGTACTGATTTTCACATGGAGCAGTGTATTGTGAGATATTTTAAACATGTAACTTGTTCTAGAACTTCAGCAATACAATCTGGCATATAATAGAGTTACGTCATTGTTTAAAGGTTCTTGAAATTGCAGCTGGCCCTGCTAAATACAGTCCCAATGGAGATGCCTTTGACTCATACAGCTACATTAAATTACTGACGTTTTAACTCTTCACTCTTCAACCTATTGCAAGGTAAATCAATCATGCACAGTTTTCTAATGTGGAAAGGGTTCATGTTCATGATGTGACGATCTCGTTGCCTTTTACTTTCTGTGTTTCCTATTCCTTTCAATCCACGTAGACCACACCTTAAATGAATTCACAATACTACACCTTAAATGAATTCACAATACTACACCTTAAATGAATTCACAATACTACGCCTTAAATGAATTCACAATACTACACCTTAAATGAATTCACAATACTACACCTTAAATGAATTCACAATACTACACCTTAAATGAATTCACAATACTACACCTTAAATGAATTCACAATAGTGTTCTTTGTTTCAAGTTCAATTTTGAAATTCACATGCAACCTACTTGTATGTATATGTACCGGTACCTATTCAAAAAGCGCACTTAAAGTGCGACTCGAGTTTGCATCTGATGTACCGCATCATCGATTTCCCTTGAAAATGGTCGAGTTTGTTTTTGACATGCCTTTATTTGAACACAAATAATTTAAAAACTCTTTTAAATATCAAATCAATACTTGCCAGGGATAAAATTAAGATTCCAAGCTTTAAAATGGTATATAAATAATGGCGGTACGTGTTTCTGCGCTGACAATAGAGCCTCGCACAAAAAGTTGCTGATATTTTGGGACGTCCTATCAGTGTTTCCCCTGGCTAATGCACTGAGCGAGGTGGTAACAATTCAAGTTGATGATTGAAACGAAATTTATGCAGTCTGCAAACTGAAAAGTAATGCAGCGCTCACAGAAATGCGCGATGATTCCAAAAACACATCAAAACTGTGAGTTCTTGATACATGGAGGTAAAGGAAAATGCTCATATAGGACCTATTACACAAAATGAAAAATTTTCAATTGATATTTCCTTTTTTGCCAATCTTCACAGCGAGGTGGTGATATTGGCAAAAACTGAGCGAGGTGGTCACTGAAAGTAGCGAGGTGGACCACCTCACGTTTGAATGGGCAGGGGAAACACTGCGTCCTATGGTATACTCACGCAATGAGTTGGTTCCAACGTGAGAAGAAGTCTGATGAGGACATGGTGGTTGGCTGGAAGAACTTGGAGACCATTATGGGGACCTTCAGGTTGACATATTGCATGGAGCCTCCACAGCTGCAAAGGCAACACAAAGCAAATCATGCTCAATAGGTCATCATTTGTAAATGATGTCTTATTCTGGGTAAACAATGGAAATATCACACTTATTGAAACAATTTAAAGGGAAAATACAACATTTGCAAACATCGAAAAATAAAACTACCAAGTTGTTACGGAATACCTTACTAGGATGTTGGTAAATGACATGCTAAAGCATCCTGTCAAATTATGGCACCAGGTGTGAAACCATTTTCAAGAAAATTGAATATTTGTATACATTTCCAACGCTGGTCGGCCGATCACCGTTGGAAAAACCTAACTATCCTTCAATTACTGCTCTAAATTTACCAATTTTTTTTAGTCTAAATTTTGTTTTGCTAGCTATTGGTTCCATGTTCATGAACGGGTGCAGGCCAGCTAGACTGGTTCCCTTACCTTACAATTTTCCGGTATTTTTGATCCATTTCATCTTTAGTGGAGTCAGGGAACCAGACTACTTGAATATTTTCGTTTTTCTTGGTTTTTCCAGCATTTTCGAACACAAAACTTCATACATGTCAGTGTAACAATATTTGATCTATTATACTAACTCCCCAAATAGTTCATTCCTGAAAATTACAGCAAAAGCCAATGATGTACATTCCCTTTAACAACTAAAAGGTAACATACAACATTTGTGTTTGCTGTAATTTTCAGAAATGGACGGATTTCAGGGTTGGTATTTTATAGGGAAATGTTACACTGACCTGTTTAAAGTTTTGTGTTCTTAGATGCTGGAAACCAAGAAAAAAATACTGTTCTTGTAGTCTGGTTCCCTGACTTTACTTCAGACGACACAGAGCAATTAAAAGACATCGGGGAATTGTCAGGTCAGGGAACCAGACTAGCTGGCTTGCACCCATTCATGGATGTGTAACCAATTGCAAACAAAATATGGACTAACTATATGGTTTTCCAACGCTGGTCGGCCAACCATCGTTGGAACTTGATACACAATTTCCACTTTTCTTGAAAATGACAGCACACCAGGTGCCATGATTTCACAGGATGCTGGAGACTATTATTTGCTTACAGTCAAGTGTTGTATTTCATAATAAAATGGTAGTTTTGTTTTTTGATGTTTGCAAATGTTGTATATTCCCTCTAACTCAAATCTAAAATCAAAGGTTTTAAAATGTCCATTGGAGAAATATGACTTACATCCTCTTGTGGTATGATCGCAGTTTGTCACTCAGGAAATTAATTCTCATTCATGGATATGTAACTGATTCCAAACTAAATGAAATTTGGTCATTTGAGAGCAGTATTCGGGAAAAAAAACTGCGTTGTTTCTTGCAATGGTTTGGTCCTAACCATCGCAAAGAAATGCTGGTAATTCCTTTCTTCTTGAGAATGACAGGATGCTTGATCCTATTATTTACTTGAGATCAAGTAGGATATTTCGCAATATTTTGGCAGTTACCGTTCATAAATGTTTGCAAATGGCTTTAGCACCTCTGAAGTATGCATGCTGCATAAAAAGACCAGCATGCCCATGCAGGAACATGCACCATTCCCTGACTGTTCTTAGCAGAAACATTATGTGTTCCCCAAAACAAATTGAAGTACGTGTCCTGGTTTTGATATGTACACCTAATCCCTTAACCAAAATAATGCATGCGTTTTTAAGATCTTTCCGAGTTGGATATTTCAAATCCATGTGCACCAAATGTAGAAATTTTGAGAAAAATGTGATTTGGTGGTTGTGAGATACCGTCAGTCAACTGGCAAAAAAACCCATTGTTTTCTGGTACATGTAAAACCAGTGCATTCTTGTACTCAATGCATGCGCAAAAAAAACCCTCTTTTTTCAGAAATATAGTTTCATCATCTGGTCTTTTTGGCCCCCCCCCCCCCCAAAAGTCTCTGGTTTCTGGTATGCGCGCGCGTCGCCGTAGCCATGCGCGTCGGCAAAATGAAAAAGTTTTTTTTCAATGAAAGATGATGTCTCAAAATCGTCAAACTCACTCGTTTGACTGGAATCCTGCTGCTGCACAATTTTAACGTGTTTTTAGATGGGGTTATGGTCGAAAATAAGCTTTATGTGGCCTCTCTGGACTCCCATATATTTGCACTAAGTGTAGTCGGGCATCATTTGCAGTCATCAGCCGACATTTGAAGCAAAAAAAACAGGTAAAAAAAAAAAAAAGCCGCGTCGCCGCACCACTTTTTGGGCAAGCTCCATACCAGAAACCGGAGACTTTTTTTTTGTGGCCTTTTGTTACTGAAGTTAAAAAAAACACATGTTCCATTTTAATGAAAATCTCTTGTTCCACAGAGATTGGTCAAACCTAAAACATCTCAATTTGAAAAATAATTCTAATTTGAACAAAGCAATTGACTAGAGCAGGGTTTGAACCTGCGACCTCCAGATTACCGTTCCGGTGCTCTACCAACTGAGCTATCCAGCCCTATATTGGCAGTTCCCTTTTTGTCAATGTCTTTTTCAAGAACTAGTCAGAAGCCATAAACCTGTATATGCCATGTAGCCAGGGATCATACCTAAAGTCACGATGCTAGCAACATTAGCAATACTGCAATCTTATGGTCAAATGAAAACGTGCGTGTGCATCTTCTCAATTGCAAATCGAAAGAAAATAAAACCAAGTAGTAAAAGATGCAAACAAAAATGGTCAAACTGAAAAGCTGTGCATTATGTATGTAGTTTCATCTTGCCATGCTTTCAATGCTTTACCTTTCTCTGGTTGGGGCATGTGGAGGTTCAACATGCGCTGGTTGAATCCTACATGTACAGTCATGTGCACAACATGAGAAATTAGGTACATGAACACACACTCTTGTTTTACTATACTCCCAAGGACAATGCTTTGTGTTTCCCTTTGTCCCTGTAATATAACACTCTCCCATAGACTAAGCACAAAAAACTCACTACAGAGGACCGTTTTCAACAAAAGACCCAACTCCCGAGGACTGAAAGGATCTGTTGTTCTCCCTTTGTCTGTCTGTCCTCGAGGGTTATGTAGAACAAGTACACACTAACCCGAGCACCTTATCACTGGGATCGGGGTTAGGGAAAGCATTGCCCAGATATTGTTCACACGGGATAGCTTATTTTGTACAATAGCTATCATGATGCTTCCATCAGTGTAAGGGCCTCCGTGAACATTAATAAATTGTAATGCTTATATACCGTAGCGCTTTCCATCGTATCAACAATCTCAAAGCGCTTTACAATTATTCCCCCGTTCATCAGGCCAGGAGACCGCGCAGCAGTGAATATCGGCGCACATGTTCAGCCTCTACCCTCACAGGTACCCCTTCGTACTCCTGGGTGGAGAGAGGCAATTGTAGTTGAGTGTCTTGCCCAAGGGCACAAACACCACGTTCCTGGCCGGGTTCGGACCCACGTACCATCGTACATGAGTCATACACCGTAACCACTGGACCATGGTGAATGTATAGTGAATGCATGCTCAGATTTGTCTATAAATAGGCCTACATGTATGTCTATGTTTTATGTTTTCAGTTTTTTGTTTGTTTTTGGGTCTCTTGTTGTTTGTTTGTTTGCTTGGATTTTGAGGTTACAGATTAATCGTCTTCACACTTTATAAACAGACAATTTTTGAATCGCTTGTCTACTACATAACATGGGCAAATGCTGACAACTGATGTAGATATAAAGCACTCAACACTGTTATGGAAAACACATTATTAGAAGAAACAGCAAGTTAAAAAGATGCACTGTTTGTGCTCTAACCAAGTTTCACCCGGAAAAATACATTTTTAAAAAAATTGCTACACTTCTAGCACTTCAAACAATATTCTCTTCTGAACAAGACATCAAATGAAAAATGAAATGGTTCATGATGATTATCGAAAAAAAAAAAAAAATTCAAATTTCAAATTTAAACATAAAATACTTATTTGCATCCTGACTGATACCCTTTCTCCTATCAAAATTTGCAGAGAAATCTAAAATAAAATTGTAGCTTTGGAAAAGAAATGTCACCTCAGACGTTCAGGCAGAGAACCAAACAAACGTAAGCCCTAAGTAACTAGTATTTTAGATTGCACAACACCTAATAAATCCCCGTCATCTGACTGGTGGATCGTTGGTCACACTTCATTGAATTGTTCGCCTAACCCACGGCCCGGCCGCACCGCAAAAAAAAGAAGTTCCATTCCACGGTTAATAGAAGTTCTATTGCACGGTTAATAGAAGTTCTATTGCACGGTTAATAGAAGTTCTATTGCACGGTTAATAGAAGTTCCATTCCACGGTTAATAGAAGTTCTATTGCACGGTTAATAGAAGTTCCATTCCACGGTTAATAGAAGTTCTATTGCACGGTTAATAGAAGTTCCATTCCGCGGTTAATAGAAGTTCTATTGCACGGTTAATAGAAGTTCCATTCCACGGCTAATAGAAGTTCTATTGCACGGTTAATAGAAGTTCCATTCCACGGTTAATAGAAGTTCTATTGCACGGTTAATAGAAGTTCCATTCCACGGTTAATAGAAGTTCTATTGCACGGTTAATAGAAGTTCCATTCCACGGTTAATAGAGGTTCTATTGCACGGTTAATAGAAGTTCCATTCCACGGTTAATAGAAGTTCTATTGCACGGTTAATAGAAGTTCCATTCCAGGGTTAATAGAAGTTCCATTGCACGGTCACACTATTGGCGGCTCTGACCAATCAGATGACGAGGATTTATTCAGGTGTTATTTAAAACAAATAATCAATGTTTCACATCCGTGCATTGGAAATACTGATTTCGTTCGGTGACAGATGGAATGTTCCAATCTACTCAGCTTCACCTCGTGGAATGGAACATTCCATGTCACCTAATGAAATTATTCTTACCATTGCACTCAAAAACATTCATTGTTTTTATAGAAGTCAATTGAAAGCAATTCAATCCCAAACTCAGATCTGAAGGAAATTTATTTTTTCTGTCATTAACCATGATAGAGAGCAGCTACTTAAACTACAGACTGCATTCTGCTATCCCCACAGTACGATATCAAAGTTTTCCGAGTTTTGTTGAAGTCTTTATCAGAAACTACGCATGTTTTTCTAAAGCGATGAACTACACAACAAGTAGACAAGATGGAAGAATAAAAAAAGTTAGTGAAGCCATCGAGAGAGCCCATGTTGAATGATAGCCGCCTAGACCAGGAATAAACAGACTGCATAGAAGCATCCCTTTTCTATCACACTAGAAATCTATAACTAAAATGAAACTGTACTGCCTATGATTGTTCAACCCCATGGCATTAACCCATCAGCAATTTTATATTACTTTGTAATTCTATTATAAAAGTTCTTGAAGAGTCCATAAAACCAAATTTAGGTCTTTTCACACTAGAGCCTCTCAACCAGGGTTGACTTAACCCTGGGCAAACCCAGTGCCGCGGGGGGTTGAGTTTTTTAATTTTTCAACCCCGCGTTCAACCCCGCATCGTTTAACGCTTATTTTGATCGGTCACAATACTGATTTGAACCCTGGCAAAAGTTTCAACCAGGGTTGATAATCTCAACCCTGGTCTGGAGCAGGGTCGAGTTCAACTCGGGGTGAAATCAAGCTCAGGGTTGACGCAGGGTTGAACAATTTCAAGTGTGAAACGCCACATGTTTTCAATCCTGTGTCAACCCCGAGATTCTAGTGTGAAAGGGCTTATTATAGGATACATGGGTGGTTTGGGGCGGTACAGGGAATTAATGGGTAATTACAGTGATTAAGGATCACACAGCAAAGCCAGCATCTTGTTTCATTCATTCATGTATGGGACTGTAATTGAAAAAGTTGCTTTGGAGGAACTCATGGTATTGTTTCTTGAATTCTGTTAGATTTAGCAAGTTTTAAACTTGGCAAGTGCAAGACTTGGTTTGGGCAAACTTAACACATAGCTATTTTTGGATTCTGTGGGAATGAGGAAGCTTTACATTGCTTAGTTTGACTCGATTGTGCATTGAGCGAGCTCCACAAGTTGTTTTTGCTGGAATCTGTTGGAAGGGGTCTAGAAAAACTCATAACAGGTTGCAAGTTGCTTGGGCTGCAATGCCGTGGGATTGAGAGAAAAACAAAATAAGCAGGGTCATTGCGTATCAAATCTCCTAATGGGTTAAACCGCAAACCCTTCAAATTGGTTCATATTTTATGTATGGAGTATTTTGGCTGTAAAAGCTGAAATCTGAAGTTTAAGCGCTATCAGGCCGACAGTTTTCGCACTACCGCCATTTCAGGGACAAAAAATTTCTGCTTTAAGTCCACTAGTACATTGCAAAGGAATATCACATTTTGAAACAGGTATGCTAACTTTGCGATGAGCTAGAAACCAGACCAAAAATATGTGTCCTCCAATTTTTGGATAGTTTGTAGAAAACATGGTGGGGTATAATTTTCATCCAAGTTCGTTTCAAGGTGACGTGATCCACAAGTTCAAATTCAAGGTCAAAAGGTTATCATACACGTACATCAAATTACTCAGACATGAAAAATAATGGTAAATTTGGATTTCTTATGATGTCATTTTTCCAAAGAAACAAAGATTAACAAATTTGGCCCACAGGTTATGGAGAAATGGTCATTTGAAAATTGGTGGCCATCCCATTTTGTTCAAAATTGTCAAAAAACGGCAGGCACTACATGCACTAGCGCAAAAACTATTGGTCTGACGTCACTTAAACTTAAAATTTCAGCTTTTTCAGCCTTAACTACCCCATACACTAAATATGAACCAATTTGAAGGGGCGGGTTTTAAACTTTTGCGGTGATTTGACACAGAATTACCAAGCACCCGTCAGTCAATCAATTAATAGACTTGTATTCAAACTACACCGCATAAAGTTAATGAAAGAAAACAAAAGTTTGGCAGAAAATAAAGTTTTCCGTGCTTCGTCCTATTACCTTGGGTCTGGGTTAGAATCAGTAGACTGGCTACCTGTCTGCTGTAAGCTACATGAGTGGCGAGCAAATAGGTTTAACGATTAATGCAGAAAAGTCATGAAATGAAGAAATGTAGTCTGGCACCAATGGTGTCACGAATCCCTGATGTTAGTATAAAAGCATAGGGAGGGATAGAGTGGGTTATGGTTACAAGACTTGTGAAATGTTTTGGGTGAATTAAGTGAAGGGAGAAGCGATATTGCAAGCAGGGGAATGTTCATGCTGAATCAAATCTTTGAAAAATATTGGACTCTCCACGCCCTTTCACCCTGAAAATAAATGTTAAATGCTTAACTGCATTACCAGTCAGTCAACTGCCGTGTCATGCGTAGCTGCTCTATTTTCTCGTCCACACAACTGACAGCAATGCGAGGCCAGCGAACGATGGCCGTAAAAAGGGCTTCATAAAATTCGCAATGTTCATGGCAAACCACAACCGATCCAAACAAACAAAGTTGTTTTAGGTAGTTAAAGACCTATTTAATACATCCATCAAGGTATCTGTTCTCAAAAAAAGGATTTCGATGCATTTTGACGATATTATTTCACGGACAAATCGACTAAAAATTAGGTCATGAAATTTCCGGGTTTTTTTTCGAGAACGACGAAAGTCTCCCAAATGTTGAGGTAATCAAACGAAAGAATGAACCTTTGTGTACAAAAAATCTTGTGAACGTGATGTCGTTAATATTTTAAGAATTCGATGTACACCTAAAGTTTCCAATAACTTCCATTTTTCACAACGCGAAAAGATCGTCGCCATTGTAAAGCATAGGGCGAGGAACCCAAACACGGTGTGACCTTGTGACCCATACGCCCACTGATTGGTCGAGCTCAAGTATGGCCTGCTTAATATTCATAAGTCATTCATTGCACGTTCGCACGTGCTTTTCACAATGTTTTCAGGCCAACATACGTCAGCGTACTTATGTTCGTTTACGCGTACATGTGATTGCAAATCATGAAATCTCGTAAAAGTCTTCATTTTTTTAACCGGCGATTTGGACCAAACATACGAAGTCTCCTGCACGTGTTTCACATGAAAATGAAGCATATACTTTCCTCCATCTATTGAGCCTTGCCGTTTCTTTCCGCCTTTTTTAAGAATCGAATGTACACCTAAAAACTGTCGGCCCTCGCTTTTGTTGATAAAAAATATGATTTTGTTTGACAGGCCGTAACAACACTTTATATTTGTCAAAAGCAGTTATTTTTGGTATCACAATAAAGCACACGATTTCAACTTTTCACTTATTTAGCCATTCTGGCCAAACAGTGCATTTCTCCAGGTACTTTTCGTGTTTTTCTGTAGCCTTGAATAAATCTCGTAAATTCTCGTGTACGATTTTGGGCCATGCGTGCGTGACCTCGGGACAAGAAACGGAGGTCAAACAGGGCTGTGCGCGTGACACGGCCACTGAATGCAGTGTTATTAGATCAAATGAGACAACCAGAGTTCTGTTCTACATTTTGTACAATTAGACAATTGGTGGGAGATTCATCTGCTTCTCACGCATTTTGTTCATATGTGACCTGTTCTGTCAAAATCAGACTTTTCTGGGCAAAAGGTCAAAAATGAGGTTCTTGCATATTGTTAAAATATGTTCTGTTTCCTTTTAATAGGTGGTTTAATTTTTGAAACCGGTCATTCCTGCGCAAAGTTATGCTATTTTGAAGTTCATTGGGTCGAAAAGTAGAAAACGGAGAAAATGGACACGAACGTCACAAAACAGACATTTCTTTAACTGATATACTTTAACAAATCATCAAAAATACTGTAATTAGAGATCAAATTAGGGTTTCAAACTTTTATAGTATATTGTAGACATGCTCAGGATTACAAATATGCAAAAATTAGAAAATGGAAAAAAATCACCCCCACAGCGTGTTTTGGCCCTATCTCAATTTCAACCTCTGCCCAGAAGCGTCTGCTTTTGACAGAACAGGTCACATATATCTAATAATGACACCACTCAAAATCCAAAGACGAATGTTCAAAACCCCAACCCGTCCAAGTTTCCACTCAGTGGATACTACACTTTGCGGGAACAGTGAAAAACCATGCACCAACTTTTGATCACGAATTCAAAGGATTCATCGTTATAACTCGTTTAGTAAAAAAACTGACTGATTATTGTTACATTTCTTGATTTCTTCTGGAATGACAGAATATCATCAACTTACACAAATCGGATATTGAGCAGCGGAGCATCGCTGAATTCCTGCACACATTCAGCTGTGATGAGTTGCTGTACCTGGGCACCGCCGTCCAGAACGTTGTTGATTGGGGGCGCCTTGACAAGCAGCCGTGAGGTCAAAGGTTAAGGTCAAAGGTCATTGAAGTGTTTTACAGGATGGAATGTACTTTTGGGAGATGAGATGTGGTTTGTGAGATCGGTTTCGCCTTTCAACAACATATTTTTATAAATACTGTGAACCACCGCCCAGCTGTGCCCGGCAAGCTCGAAGGTCGAGTGGTAAGACATCTGCACTAGTAAGGCCCAAAAAAAAAAAATATTCGGTCTCTGGTCAGACCAAAGTTCCGGAATTGACGCGGCCACGCGGCTTGTATTTTTTTTTTTGCTTTTTTTTTTTTCTTCAAGCTTGGATTGTACAGACAAGGTGGGTACTATTTTGCTTTTTTGGTGTCCTCATGTACATTGGTGTCCTCCATAATTTGCCTTGGTGCTTTCGATCATTTGCCTTGGTGCATTTCCCATTCCTTGGTGCTCTTTGGTAAAAAAAATTGAGGAGGGGCGGAAATAGAGGGCGCTGTTGGAGCTACAGCGGAACATTTTGGAAAAAAAAAAAAGATCGACGCGCGCACTGAACAGAGACCGACTTATTTGTTTTTGGCCTAAGCAGGAGGTAATGGGTTCGAGTCCCACCCGAGTAAACTTGTGCAATTTTTTCTAGCAACCCTTAGACAATGAACATACAGTGTCTATTACATACATCAGTGAAGGGCAAAACCCGCTGTTGAATACTTGGCTAACGACAAAACTGGCTAATTTTGTGTTACAACTTGAACAAATCTTGCTTAATATAAACCAATAAGAACTGAGTGATTCTTTCGAAAAAGGTTCTTTCAAAAGCACAGGAATTTGGCGAATAAAAAGTGGGAACTGTGTTGAATCCTAACCCTGCTCAATCCTACAAAGTCCTCCCGGCGGTTTTGGAAGATTTTGGAGGATTGAGGCTGAATGCAATGTGCAATTTTGGAGGATTGTTGAGGATTGAGGGCACATGGACAATCAGTATCAGTTGATTTTGGAGGATTGAGGCTGAATGCAACAAACAATTTTGAAGGATTGTGGAGGATTGAGGCTGAATGCAATATGCAATTTTGGAGGATTGTTGAGGATTGAGGGCACATGGACAATCAGTATTGGTTGATTTTGGAGGATTGAGGATGAATGGTGTAAGAGGAAGAGGAGGATTTTGAAGGATTGAGGCTGAATGGTGTATGAAGAAGAGGAGGATTTTGGAGGATTGAGGCTGAATGCATTTTGAGAAGCACGGCTGTTGGAGGATTTTGAAGGATTGAGGCAGTAGGTATCTTCATTTGAACAAAGTGCAAAACTTTGGAGGATTTTGGAGGATTGATGACATTCCTAACAAAAAAGGCCTACGGGTTACGGTGAAGGCCATTTCTAGGGATAAAATAAATAAGACGTGAAGGAACGAGCAGCTAAGGATATTTGAAGCCAGTTCTCCGGGTGTGATGACCGTGGAACTGAAATCAGAGAACTGCATGCTGGTCTTGTTGCCGAAGAAGAGAACCAGACGACAGTACATGGACTTGCTCTCTGACTTGACTCCAATCTGAAGCAGGTCATTCTCAAATAGGACGCCGTTGTTTTTACAGATGAATCTAGAAACAGGAGAACAAACATGAAGAATGGTGGATTGGCGCTAACGGTCAAAATATATTTACTGACAGATTTCACGCAAATTGTTTACTTTCATTAACCTCGGACACTTGCCTTAGAGCTGAGAGATTTCAATTCAATTCAATTCAATTCAATTCAATTGCTGAACATTTATTTCAACGTTGTTATGTCACTAAAAATATTAAATCGTTATGAAACATTTAAGCATACAAAATATAATACAAAGTAATTTTACACAACACCGTTATTAACATAATGAGAATATATACATAATCCACATAACAACACGGGGATAGGGTGAAGCGATCGCTTTTGTTCCCTGACCCGTTGGACACTTACAGACTGACGGACAATCAAGTACGAACTAAGGACAATGACAGACAAACAAACAAACAGGAGTATCATTAAGCTATTGTTGTATGTTTACAAAGTATCAACAGACTACGAATAAACAAGATAAGTAGACACTAGTAAAGCTGATCCTAGAGGACACACAATTCTTAGAAAAGCTATGCACTGGAATATTTGCACGCATGTGTGTACGGAATGTTACAGGGTAATCCTATATGATAGCACTGCCCGACTCACCAGTGACAATCAGTGCATGATTTACTTGTGACCGGCATTGAATGCTCTTGTGTTGGATTGGACTACAACAGTGAAAGAAACTCACTTGCAGAAATTCTCCTCAGCGCCCGGGGAGAGGGCACTGGCGTTGGCCACAGCTGGAGCCTGAGCTGGGGCCTGAGCTGGGGCCGGGGCCTGGGCGTCAAAGATATCCAGCAGAGTGCTCTGGCCAGCCGCCGGTGGAGCTCCAAAGTTATTAGTAGCTGGCGGGGCACCGGGCATGTTGAAGGTCTGCGCTGGTTGTGCCGGGGCTGCATCTAGACCTAGGAGGTCTGTAGACGGGGCTGCGGCTGTAGGGTTAGGAGCCTGGACCATTGGGAGCTGGACTGGAGTAGCTGTACTCGGCGCCTGAATTGGATTAAAATGATAATGATGGTCACAGTCACGGTAACAGAAAATACATATGAAGCCTTTGAGTGACTAAAAGAGGGCCTCATTTCCACCAGCCGCTGGCTTCATGCAATATGACTATCTTATGGTCACTCACAGTCCATCAAGTTAAAGCTACAGTCCATCATTTGTAATTTGTGCATTTTGTTCATTTGAAGCAACAAAAGAGTTCAAAATCTAATGAAGGATACTGAGCAACTAACCTGATGAAGTTTCAGCTAAGCTTCAGCTGTACATTCCGAGAAAAACAGCATTCTAAGATCTCAATTTCAAATCCAAAGTTACTGAATCATGTTTTGAATTGTTTTGAATTGCAGCTATACGCGACGTCTCGCATTGATCCGACGAATTATAACAACCGCGCGCGCGTGTGCGTCGTTCCAATACTTGTGCGCGCTGCGCTGAATAACAAAACGAACTACTAATTTAAATTTTCCTACGGTGCTTCTTAAGAATCACCGTTGGAAATGCCTTCTTTCGTTGATTACTTCAAAATGACAGCTTCCCAGAAAGAATAATTTCACAGGGAGTTTAGTCCCCTTACTATCTTTCAACCAAGTTTGTTTTTCAACAATAATTACGCCAGTTACTTTTCGGATGGCTGCAAATGATGGACTATACCTTTAAATATTGTAGATGCCTACTTGTGACCTCACTGCCAGTCAATAGGTGCATATTTCACTGGGAGTGATTCCTCATCAGTGCTGTTGAGAGCCCTATTTCCCTCAGCCTTTGGCCTCATGCAATAGGACCATCTTAAGGTAGCTTACAGTTCCTCAAGGTGCATAGATGTGCACTATTGACCTCACTGCCAGTCAATAGGTGCATATTTCACTGGGAGTGATTTCTTACATCAGTTCTGCTAAGGGCCCTATTTCCCTCAGCCTTTGGCTTCATGCAATAGGACCATCTTAAGGTCGCTTACAGTTCCTCAAGGTGCATAGATGTGCACTATTGACCTCATTACCAGTCAATAGGTATATATTTCACTGGGAGTGATTTCTTACATCAGTGCTGCTGAGGGCCCTATTTCCCTCAGCCTCTGGCCACATGCCATAGAATCATCTTGTGGTCACTCACAGTTCCTCAAGGTGCATAGCTGTGCACTATTGACCTCGGTGCCGGTCAATAGGTATATATTTCACTGGGAGTGATTTCTTACATCAGTGCTGCTGAGGGCCCTATTTCCCTCAGCCTCTGGCCACATGCCATAGAATCATCTTATGGTCACTCACAGTTCCTCAAGGTGCATAGCTGTGCACTATTGACCTCGGTGCCAGTCAATAGGTATATATTTCACTGGGAGTGATACTTACATCAGTGCTGCTCTCCCCAGCTGTATTATTGACCTCCACCGTGATGGGTTTGTTGGGTTTCTTCTCTTCCACCACGGCCGATGGTTTCTTCTTCTTCAGCTTGGCAAGGAGGGAGGACTCTCGCTCGGGGAACGGTGGCATTTCTTCCAGCACGGTCGCCTTGGTTACACAAAGAAAGGGAGAGATATTATTAGCTATCCCATGAGCGATATTGGAACAAGGAATAATGTAATGTACAGGCGTGAGTTGGATAACGAATTTATCGTCAATCAAACTTGGTGCTTAGTAAAGTTTGAACAAGCGCGCAGTACACAAACTTTTTAGCGGTTATCTACGCGTGCAGCATAAATGGTGCGAGCATCTTGGAATAGCGCGATACGCGTAGTGCGATGTGGACCGTGGTATATGGGATAATGTAGCATGGTTTGTTGACATTGATCGATCAATCAGGATCGAGTATTAACGATAATGTTAGTTATTCTATGAGCGCGATTGGAACACGGAATAACGTAGTGCGTCTGTACCCCATATACCACGAGGCCGAAGGCTGAGTGGCATATGGGGCACAGATGCACTACATTTTCCATGTTCCAAGGATGTGAAAGGATTTATCTTCATGCAAACTTGACAAACAGTCAAGCTGCAACGAGTACGCTGTTGTAACATTTCAGCCGTTATCCCACGTGTTTGCAGCAGGAAAATGCGCACATCTTAAAACAGTGATATGCACAGGTTTTTTAATAGGAATATTGAGTTTTGCTTGATCCAAATTTGGGTTACACCATGATTACCCTATTTGCATTCAAGTTGAAAAAACACCAAGCATTACTATTTGTACCAGACACAGGGTTGAATTTCAGTCCTTCTATTGATTCCTTAAAGAGGTTGTGGAATGCTCGAAGACATTTCCGTCATTTTTTTGGTATATGTAGCCTAAGGTGTGATGAAATAAAAACGACTATTGTTTCTGTCATGAAATGAGCACAAAGGGTACTTTTGAGAGCTATTTTTCAGGTCCTGTTTCGACCCGAACGTGCAATTTGTGTAAAAGTCGTCGTTGCGGGCAGCAAACAAAACACAGTAAATTGTGACGTAATAAACAGGACTCGTTTATGCTACTCTGCATCGGGAGTCCTGTTTATTACGTCACAATTTACTGTGTTTTGTTTGCTGCCCGCAACGACGACTTTCACACAAATTGCAAGTTCGGGTCGAAACAGGCATGACAGGACTTGAAAAACAGCTCTCAAAAGTACCTTTTGTACTCATTTTATGACAGAAACAATAGTCGTTTATATTTCATCACACCTTAGGCTACATATACCCGAAAAATGACGGAAATGTCTTCGAGCATTCCACAACCTCTTTAAATATTCAGAACCAAGCACACGTTTGTAATATGCCTAGAAGTACAGGATCAGCACATGACATGAAATTGTCCCCCCTCTCTTTTGTGCTTCGGCTCCGCCCCTTTCTTACCAGGACATCAGAGGAGGTTCTGACGCTGAGACTTAGATACTCCACAGCTCGCTGCTGCAGCTCAGCGTCAGCATTCCGCAGTTGATTATCACTCTTCAGAACCTGAAAGGAAATAAATAAACAACAAATACAATTTGGGGGGCTAATCGCCATTACCCACAGCAGAAGCTGAATTGCTAAGGACGCAGCTACAACGTGGTCAAGCCGCTGGCATGTAAAGGCGCTTTAGGCAGCTGCCATATGACCCATGTCTAACAACGGGGGCAGCCAGAGATCAAAAGTGTTGATTTTTAACCAGTTCGCGATGGATTATGTTTATAAACGCAAAGGTTTTGCGGTATTCGGAACGGATGACAGATAAACACGCAGGGAGCGAGGCCGGAAATATCCGTCAACGACCCGCTCGCAGCGAGCAAGGCTGGAAATATGAGTGTGCTGCCCGAGGGTGATGGCTTCAACCCGCCTGGCTTGAGGTCGAGTGAAAAGTAATCCTTCGCCTCGTTCCGTTCTTGTCAAACTATTCCCGGCGTGAACTGGTTAAGGAGGGAGATAAACCAAAGAACCCGGAAAAAAAACCCTTGTGGCACAGGAGAGAAACTACGAACTCTACTCACTTATGACCCGAGTTGGGAATCGAACCCAAACCACAGTGGTGAGAGGGGAGCGCTTTACGCACTGCGCCACCTGCACATTTCTAGTTAGTTTTCCTTTGTTATTTATTTGATGATGTGTAACAAAAAGCCGTTTCCTCTCCGTGTGATCCCATTTGCTATTTCCCAGGTTTGCAGCATTGCTAATGTTGCTAGCTTTGTGACTTTGGTGTGATCCCTGGCTACATGGCATACGGGTTTATGGCTTCTGACTAGCACCCCTTGAACAAAGACGATGACAAATTGGGAACCGCCAACATACAGCTGGGGGCAAGTTCGCGCAAGGACTATAGTTAACCATTGGTCGACTAACGCTTGCCCGAACTCTGTCTAGTCGACGATGGTTAACTACGCTAGTCGACTATTTGGAACCAACCTACTGGGGTTGGTTGCTTCGCTGGTAACCATAGCCGCGCGCGTTCATAACGTACAGCAGGGAGCCAGGATCCAGACGTTTTGCAATGACATTTTGACCAGCGTTCGACTAGAGACGTTCGCACTTTGCTATTAGTGCGCAGGCGTAAGGTACGTCACAAATCAACCACTAGTCGACTAATGGTCCTTGCCCGAACTTGGCCTGGATAGCTCAGTTGGTAGAGCACAGTACGGTATTCCCAGGTTGAAGAATAAATTCCACTCCAATTAATTTGTTTGTTCAACTTCACATTTATTACCTCCGTCCAGGAGGTTATTGGTTTTGTTTGTTTGTTTGTTTGTTGGTTGGTTGGTTGGTTGGTTGGTTGGTTTGTCTATTAACAAGTTAACTCAAAAAGGTATGGACGGATTTTCATGAAAATTGTTTTAGGGGTGGTCCTTGGTACAAGTACAAATCGATTAGAATTTGGAAGTGATCCGGATCTGGGTCTGGATCCAGGATTTTTTTAAAGGATTCTTCACCATTTATGCGAGTATTTCTTTTAGGTGTACTGGCAATATGGCGGGGAATTGTTCAGCCTTGGCTGAGGTTTGCGCTCTCTGAGTGCTTTCTAGTTACGTATGTCACACTCGCTTAAAGGGAAAATGGAACATTTGCAAACATCAAAAAATAAAACTACCAAATCATTTTGAAATACCTTGCTGGACTGTTAGTGAATGACAGTATAAAGCATCCTGTAAAATCATGGCACCTGGTATACTATCATTTTCAAGAAAAGTGGTATTTTTGTATCAATTTCCAACGCTGATCGGCTGATCAGCGTTGGAAATAACTGGCTTTTTTTTCAAATACTGGCCCCAATTGACCATTGCACTTGTTTGCAATCGATTACACACCTATGAATGGGTACGAGCCAGCTAGGCTGGTTCCCTGACCTTACAATTCCCCAATGTATGTAAACTGCTCTGTTTCTTCTTATATGGAGTCAAGGAACCAGACTACAGGAAAATGATCGTTTTTCTTGGTTTTTATAGCATTTTCAAACCCAAAACGTCAAAAAAGTCAGTGTAACTATATTTGCTATATATTTCCAACCCCCCCAATTCCATCCATTTCTGAAAATTACAGCAAAAGCAAATGATGTATATTCCCTTTAAAACATAAAAAAAACAATAATACGCAAACTCACATCCTGTATTATCTGTTTGATCTCCGGGAACAAATTGATGAACTTGACGTAAGTTGAGAGGAGAAGGCCTCTTGTAGGGGGGGAGCAAAGATGGAACTTGGAATGAAGGAGGTTGAACTGCACCTGAGGGCTGAATGAATGAGAAATACAAATCAAAATACGCATAGCAAGAACCTGCTGTTTTATATTATATTTTAATAATAATAATAATGAAAATTTATATAGCGCCGGTATCTGCCGCTTGCGGCGCTCATGGCGCTGCACTGCACAACAACCAGAAAACAATAAGAATAAAGAAGCACCTGGTTGACTCGACCCTCCACCTGTCAAGATGCATCGTCACGCTAACAAGACGGCAACGTCAAGCAAACAGGTAGAAACCAAAGTCAACCAAATGCTTCCCTATGCAGGTAGGATTTTAAACTGTTCTTGAATGTGCCAAGTGAGTTTGAAAGTCTAACAGTTTCAGGTAGGGAATTCCAAAGTCTTGGTGCAGCAGTTTGAAAGCTTCTCTCCCCCCATCGATGATTAGCCATGCTTTCCTTAAGGAGTTTTTGTTGTGAGGATCGTAAGCCCCGATGCCCCGGGACATAGAGCTGGACAAGATCGCTTAAGTATGCTGGAGCGTCACCTTGTAAGGTCTTGAAGATGATGAGGCAGTTTATATTTGACTCGTTGTTGGATAGGGAGCCAGTGCAAGTTGGCTAACACTGGTGTGATGTGGTCTGATTTCCTAGTGTAGGTGATCATTTTGTTTGTAGGGGGTGGGGTTAGGGTCAACTTCCATACTGTTCTTAGAAGGTTAAATGTTGGATCAACATAAATTGTCCTTGTCCATTAACCCTAACTCTCTAGGCCTTTTTGCTAGGATGTAGCCTCAATCCTGAAAAAAAATCTTCCAATTAGCTTCATGGAAAAATGGCATATAGCCTCAATCCTGCAAGTTCCTCCAGTATTTCTTGAATGGTCCGTGGAGGGGTGGCCACCGCCTAAATCCTGCAAAATCCTGCGGCAGTGACTGTCAATATGTTGAGACTAGGCCAGTGACATTCTGGAGCAGTACGGAGGATGTCAAGCGTAATCCAGGCCTATATTTATGCATGGCTGAGCAAAAACAACACAAGGTCCAGCCCAAGACCTTGACAAAGTGCATCCTACGAAATCAGTAACGCACTTTTGCCGTGTAACCTCAATCCTCCAAATTCCTCCACTTTGGCAAAGAGGATTTTGAAGGATTCAGGGCGGTTAGGTTAAAAGGGAGGTTCTTGTCCAGACATTTTGTCCTTACCTTGACCTCGGGTCCCCAGCGATAAGATTACCGAACTCCCCCAGGATGTAACCTCCAACTTTCACCATGTTCTCATGACAGGCTGGGGCTTGAAGAGCCTGGGAACAAGACACAAAATAACAACACAAATGCAAGTTGGGGACTCTGACTATTTCTGATATGCGTTGTTTTCAAGTCTCTCACAAGTCCATCACAAGTCAAGTTCTTCAAATAAACTCTAACAAAAGCATTTATTTGCTACCTGTTTATCCCGTTACCAGAGTTGTAACGAGTCACTGATTTTTGTGACTCGAGTCGAGTCGAGTCATTTCAAAGAAGTGACTCGAGTCGAGTCGAGTCATTTCAAAGAAGTGACTCGAGTCGAGTCGAGTCATTTCAAAGAAGTGACTCGAGTCGAGTCGCGTCATTAGGTGAAGAAGGTCGAGTCGAGTCGAGTCGAGTCACAGAGTGTAGTCGAGTCGAGTCGAGTCAAGTATTTAGCTCGAGTCAATTCGAGTCACAAATATTTGAACACTATACAATAAATACACAGAGAAAGTCATTTTTGGCTTTTTTAATGTTACCAGGGGCTTTTACATTCAGGCTACAATGTACTACATGTGGTGAGTGACACCACATTTGACTCCTAATGAAAATAAAAAGGGGGTGCCAGCTGATTGTCATTCAACTAATGGGACACTTATCGACCACGTATGTATATGTTAACATTATTCGCGAACATTCTAACGTGACGTGAACAAAAACCGACACCGGCGTAAGTCGTTGCAAATATTTTTCGGAAAGTTTTGCTTTTATTTTTGTGACTCGAGTCTTATTAGCCTTGCTCGAGTCAAGTCGAGTCATTCTGATGAGGGACTCGAGTCGAGTCGAGTCATTTGCTCGCAGTGACTCGAGTCGAGTCGAGTCATTTGCCCTTAGGGACTCGAGTCGAGTCACCAAAAAATGTGACTCGAGTCGGACTCGAGTCGAGTCATTGACTCGAGTCATTACAACTCTGCCCGTTACTTGCGAAAAGATCTGTGATGGTCTAGCTCTGATCTAGACCACATGATGACAACCAAAACTGCAAATGTTACAAACTACGATAGTTTTTCCTATTTTATCGGCAAGCTCAAAGCAAGCACAGATAGAGTCTTGGCCCAAGACACTAGAGATCGATAGTGGATCATGCAGAGTGGTGCTCTAATGGCACAAAAATTAGACCAGCGGGCATACTCGCACTAACGTCTTAGCCATTTCGTATCAGTGGTTTAACTTTTTCTTTATTAGGCTTTCTTAGGGAAGGCTTTCTGTAGGCTTTCTAAGGGAACCAATCGGCATTGAGAAATGGTTCAATGGCACACCCAACAGTTGTAAACATACGGGCTAAACGTGCGGTGATCAAGCATCATCGCTTTCCCAGGGAATGTTGGGAACCAATCAGCAATCGAGAAATGGTTCAATGGCTCACCAGATGGTTGTAATTATTTGCTAGTCTGGTTCCCAGACCAAAAGATTCTGACTATTGCTGATGAATCTTAGGTCCGGTAGCCTCCGGTAATACATTGTATTACAATTTACGTCACGTGACTAAAACGGAAGGGAATTCCTCCTTTTTCCGAAAATTTCCGAAGTTTGCCGAATTCGTTTCGTCGACAATCAGATAGCGCCCGAGTATTTCCGAAAATAATATAGGTTTAATTAACTGCTCATTGCTTACTAAATTTTTTTTAAATGAGTTGATAATTAATATTCATTGCTTTCATTTAGAAAACTTGAAATTCACTGACGATTTTGTGCATCAAATATACTCGGATCGTATGGGCGAACTTTTTGCTGCGTCATGTACAATTTTGAATTTGACGACCGTTACTGAGATTTTCCAAAACTTGGTCTTCATTCGGCTCCGCCTGCTAACAGTGCTATTTGGGTGCCTAGTTTTGTAGATTCCAGATCAACATTAGTCAATGTTATCCGGTACAGAAACATCAAACTGTATTATCATAACTGTATGATATTACGAAGCAAGTGATTTACTTAAAAATTTGATCAGAACATTAAAAGCTAAAAGTGATAAAGCGAAATCGGAAACGAAGCTGAGCTTTGAAAAAGGGCCATCAATGTCGTCATGTATATTTTTAGCCACGGAGGCTGCCTGACCTAAGATTCATCAGGAATAGTCAGAATCTTTTTTTTATTTGCACTATACGTGCGGTGATCAAGCATCATAGTTACTTATTCAACGCAGTGATACCCCCCGCGCGAGGGCGCGACTACTGCGGCAAATGGGAATTGGTTCAAATTGATACAGACGGTCCTATTTACATAAAATGGCCACGCCCCCATTGCTACGAAATGACCAAGACGTTAGTGCGTGTAGTGTGAGAAAGTAAAAAATCAATTATGTAAGGCGCTACACAACAATGCAACTATCGCTTTTGATGACTGATGTCTTGGGCCGAGGCTAGCACAGATACTGTACACAGCACGTGTGAATGCACGAATGAACTTTTGAACGAAATGGCCCCCGTTCAGAGTTTATGGAGTCTTGAACGCACAAGTTGTTTTTGACTTGCAGATAGGAGGGTAGTGTTACTAATTTGGACCTACCTCAAACACCATCTTAGCTGCATATCCCTGCACGTCCTCTCTATTGATCACAATCTGGATCACACGATACCAAACCTGAAAGCAAGCACAAGGTACAATTTAACAGATATCAACAGTCAGTTAACAGCAATACAAAGCACATTTTGGCTGGTAACCTGTTTTTTGTTAAGCAAATCCCATCTACACTTTAAAGGTATAGTCCATCATTTGTAATTTGTGCATTTTGTTCGTTTGAAGCAACAAACGTGTTCAAAATCTAATGAAGGATACTGAACAACTAACCTGATGAAGTTTCAGCTCAGCTTCAGCTGTATATTCTGAGAAAAACAGCATTCTATGATCTCAATTTCAAATCAAAAGTTGCTGAATCATGTTTGAATTGGACCTGAATTCAGCGTCCAAGACACGCTCTCACTGGGTCGATTGCAGCTACGCGATGTCGCGCACTGAATTGACGAATTTAACAATAAGGGAATAATTATGATTGGTCGGTTCGGCTCGAGCCATTATCAGCGCCCATTTCCCTGATACTGTCTTAAATGTACTTGTATTCCCATTCACAAATATCTTTGAGTCAAAAAGTCAACACAAGTCAAAATGATACATTTCCAACATTTTTATCTAAATACCCCTTTAGCTATGGTATGGAATATCCTCTCTTGAGTAGTAGTAAATAATTTCCTAATATGGTGATTGACGCGCGTGGTGCGTACTGCGTGATGTTGCACAGAATGTGGCGCGCTGGTGCAGTGTGCTGATTGGCTACACAATGAAAAAAGGGCGATCTATATGCGCGCACGATGTCGTCGTAGAAGTTGAAATGTCTCTACTCTTGCGACTGTTGATTTTGTTGAGCGCCGACTACTTCCGATCGTCTTAATATCATCGCAGTTACACTCGGGTCGCAAAATAATCGGCGACTGAAATGTTCCCGACGGTCGTAACTCAGGCACAGCTTGATCCTGAAAAGTCAGTCGCCGACTGATCTGTGTCGTCACAAGGTCGACATTGGGGCAGCTTTACATAATTTCTGCGCTTACAAGCTCCATATAATTAGCACCATTTCTATGAAATCACACAAACTCCATTTTGACGCTTAACAGATTGTTTTCATGTGCTTACCTCCTCGCTTACAAAGTCTCCGGCTATGCGGATCAGGTTCAGTATCGTGTCAACGTACCACGTGTAGTCCACTGCAAACTTCTCCGCCAAGATGGCTACCTTCAGCACCTACACAGCAGATGAATCAAGAGGTCAAATGTCAAAGGTCAAGAAGTCGTGTCAACCTATAAGGCTCATCAGTTTAAAGGGAATATACAACATTTGCAAACATCGAAAAATAACATTACCAAGTTTTTACGAAATACCTTACTAGGATGTTGGTAAATGACAGTCTAAAGCATCCTGTAAAATTATGGCACCTGGTGTGAAGTCATTTTCAAGAAAATGGTATTTTTGTTTACATTTCCAACAGTTGTCGGCTGACCACCGTTGGAAAAACCTAACAATTTTTCAACTACTGCTCCAAATTTACAATTTTTTTTTCAGTCCAAATTTTGTTTGCTATTGGTTACATGTTCATGAACGGGTGCAGGCCAGCTAGACTGGTTCCCTTATCTTACAATTTTACGACATCTATAATTGATCCATTTTATCTTTAGTGGAGTCAGGGAACCAGACGACATAAACAGTTGTGTTTTTCTTGGTTTTTCAAGCATTTTCGAACACAAAACTTCAAACATGTCAGTATAACAATATTTGATCTATTATACTAACCCCTCAAATGGTTCATTTCTGAAAATTACAGCAAAAGCCAATGATGTACATTCCCTTTAAGGTTACAGCAACAGTGACATGCATGTGAGTTGACGTTCGATTCTCATGATTCCTGTATTTACCGCCGTTGTTTTTTTCGTGATTTTTACATCAAAATCCAAAGAATCCAAGACAGAGGTATAACAAAACAATTGTTGACTGCTGTGATGTGGGATATGACATTTCTAACACCCTCGGGGCGCACAGCACCCGAGGCGAATATGCGCCCCTCGGGTGTAAAAAAACGTCATATCCCACATCACAGCAGTCAACAATTGTTAAATATCACACTGTTGTTGCTATGGATGGACCAATCAGGATTCGAGAGTTCGAGTTTGCCGAAAGATAAAACTGGATTTGCATTTCGCATGTTGCAAATCAACACATCTCTCGGAGAACCTAATTGCAAGAAATCATGATTCACGCCAAAACTCCCTAGCAATTGAATATCCTCTTTTGTTGCCTAAAATGCCATTCACGAAAACGCAACATGCAAATCGTGAATGTCCACCTGCTTTTGATTTTCAATTGTACGTGCGTACCATTTCTTCCCTTATGGAATAATCAGCTTTCTCCAGATAGTCCAGCATTTCTCCTACAACCTCCTCTGTGTTCGTCCGATCACACATGGCGTACAGGAGGTCCACGGCTCGCTGGCGGACACTCACATCACGCTCCGTCTAAATACGGGATGAAAAAAAATGTCTTTAGAATAAAGATAAACCAATCAATTTGGCCAAGTAAAAAAATACACCAGTTTCTCGTCTGTGATGCTTCTTTTTCCTGCCCTGCCATCACATGTATCATGAAAGTACATGAACAAAGCGGCACCAGACTAATGCACATGTGGTGTAGGATGCTACATCACATACATGAATAGGCAAGCATTGTGTTCGCTCGTACCCCCGCCCTGCAAACAGGGCGCTGGGAAGGGCTGATGAGCTTCACAGAATCTTGTGAAGGAAGTGGGGATGGCATTCTGGGTAACTTATCATGACCCTTGTATAAAGCATCTGGCTGCAGCTGTTTAAGACTGTGCTTAGCCAATGCGCGCAAATGCTATCCTAAAACTTTCCCATAGAAATGCACACATTCTATACCGGAAGTGAATTCTTTTTTATTGCGGACCATGTGGACAAATTTGAGCGTCGCATAATATGCAATGCGACCCTTCAAAACGGAGCCTGAGCAAGTGACGGGAATTGAAAATTTACAAAATAGATAAGTTTTACAGATTTGCTACATTATTATGCTTTTCAATGAAAAATAAGCATTTATGAATAGTGACTTGATCTTAACGGCCGTTTAAAACCTTGCAGGGTCGTGGTCGTGATGACTTGCAGGTCACAGGTCACGCAAAATCTGTCCAATCAGAGCTTAAATTCATCAGCCCTTCTCAGCATCCTGTTTGCAGGGCAGGATGTACGAGCGAAATCATTGTTGAGCTGGTACCGACCCAGCAGAAAGCAAAAGTTAAAGATGACGTTAGGCTGGCCCTCGGGGACCAGCACAGCCAAATTGGACACACAACCATAGAGGAAAAGAAAGGAGTGGAAAAGAAGCCTTCAAGTTTAGGGACAGTGACCATTCACCCCTGGTATGAAAAGGGCCCCTGGTACCTCGTCCGGTCCAGAGCCAGTCCGGTCTTCAGCCCAGTCTTGTCCGGTACATGGTCCTGTCTGACCAGAAGTTTTGAAGTCAGTCAGGCGCATCAACGTATTGCCCTTCAGAGAACTCCAGAGCAGAACAATAGCAGACTTACCGGATTAAAGATAAAATCCTTCCATAACGCCTTGGCAATTGACGGTCCCATTGTGCGCGAAACCGCATGGCAGGGGTTTTGATCTGTGCCATCGAAAGTGTTCTATTGTTTCGCACTGAGAGATGAAAACCACAAGCAGGTTTCTTCTGGGATATATTACATGTGTCAATACTTGCAAACAATAGGCCCCAGGATAGAGGAGTTCCTGATTAGCAACCGGACCAGCTCCTGGGCCGGTAGCTGGGACGGTACGAGAGGACTTCTTGGGAGGGGACAAGCTTACCGGGGGGCCCTTTTCATACCAGGGCTGAATGGTCACGGGCCCTTACCTTTAATGCTGTAACGACCGTCTCCTGGTGTTTCTTGACAGCTTCTCTGGAGAATTCAGAGGATGCCAACAGGCACATGCTCTCCAGGGCAAGATACCTGGGGTGAGGAATGATAAAGTACATGTACGATGATGTGAATCTTGTACAAAACTTCGTAGCCCAATAGCTCCGTACATATCTGAATTTTTGTGTAAGAGCTAAGAGAGGACCTCTTGTCTCCAACAAGCTCCCAGAAACATGTTAACCAGAGATGAAACGTGCCTAAGGGGAAAAAAGCAGAAAATACGCCGAACAAAAATCCATGTCCGAAATCTTGGCTGCACGCATGATATGTAGGCCTACATGTACAATAAACTTAGTGCCCAATTTCCGGACACCGACTCCCATTTTATTTTAGATCCAAACAAAATGGACGATGTGAAGAATGTTCAGTGCTTTGAAGTAAGATCTAAGGTCAGAGTGACTCATCAATAATCAAGTTCACTCCTTTTCTTACTCGAGAAAGTCCAGGAAACATTCTATGCACGGTCCAAGACAAGTGCACCATTCAGTCAAGGTTTAAACACTAACGTACGTGGAAACAAAATCGGCACGATCGTTTTTTTCTTCCAACAACCGTCAATCTATCGGGTACTTTGTCTTTTATGCTCTCTTCACATTGCATTTTGCACAACTAAATCTGAAACCTCTGAAAAGTATGCAACCTTTTGGATAACAGTGCAATCGAACTCATGCAACGTGCAACATGAAACTGCAACATGAACCTGCAACATGAACCTCTGTACGTAGTTTCAGACATGTCACAGGTTAATGCTTCAAGGGGCACTAGGTCCTGAAATCCCTGAAAATGTTATGTTTTGGATTGTTTACTTAGCCTATTTCAAACATCTGGTTGAAAGGAAACCAACCTCATGTCTTACTGTTCCCAAGAAAAGACAAAAAAAAACACGCTTGTTTACATCGGACATAACGGAGTAAGAATACGTTTTTCGTGTCGTTCTCATGTACGCTATACACGTTGTGTGTCTCGGGAACAGCGCGCGGTGACCAATCACCAATGCAAAAAATTGTGGTTTCTTCAACGTCCGCAAAAGGCGAACACTTTACGCGTACGAATGAAATCACAACTAGCATCCAAACAGCTCAAATTTATGGGGTCGCAAAAGTGGACCCCGAAATTCGTTCTCGCACGTATAATACAGGAATAACACAAAAACGCCCAGTTTTGAAAGGATAGTTGTGTGGATGTTTATATCCTACTTTTAAAAGTTATTTCCGATTATCATCATCTCGTTCAAAGCGCGTTTTGTAGCCCAATTGGGCTGTTCCAGGACCTAGTGTCCCTTTAAACTTATGCCAGCCGTAAACTTCTCCCATCATGGCTTGCTAATGTGCACCTAACCATACAATCTGTGCGCTGACGACTGGTAGAACATATTACAATGCGCTTGCAATACAGATTTCACTGCACAATTTTCATCAAATGTGTTGAAATTTAATTTTAAAACTCAGATTTTGCAGGCAAAAGATCGTCAGAAAAAAAAAATCGGAATTTTGAAATAAATTTGAAAAAGTCGGATTCCCGATTAAAATCTGAAAAGTTTTGACTCTCTTAACAAGGAATGACACTACTCTGTCTCAGATGTAATTACGATGCACGGGAGATGGGCGGTCCTTTCGGCGTTGAACTGCCCCTCTAGGGTTTCCTAGATTTGTGTCAACGTACTCAAACTATATTTTTGGCAGGTACTATGCTTTTACATAATCACTCTTGGAGACAGAAGCCGTTAAAGGGAATATACAACATTTGCAAACATCGAAAAATAAAACTACCAAGTTTTTACGAAATACCTTACTAGGATGTTGGTAAATGACAGTTTCAAGCATCTTGTAAAATTATGGCACCTGGTGTGAAGTCATTTTCAAGAAAATGGTATTTTTGTATACATTTCCAACGGTGGTCAGCCGACAACCGTTGGAAAAACCTAACTATTTTTCAACTACTGCTCCAAAATTCCAAATTTACAATTTTTCAGTCCAAATTTTGTTTGCTATTGGTTACATGTTCATGAACGGGTGCAGGCCAGCTAAACTGATCCATATAAATTGATCCATTTTTTCTTTTGTGGAGTCAGGGAACCAGACTTCTTTAACATTTTTTGTTTTTCTTGGTTTTTCCAACCTTTTCGAACACAAAACTTCAAAAATGTCAGTGTAACAATATTTGATCTATTATACTAACCCCTCAAATAGTTCATTTCTGAAAATTACAGCAAAAGCCAATGATGTACATTCCCTTTAAAGGTGTCCTGATTTTACAAACTCTTACATCTGATGTAACACAAAAGTGGACCCCCAGTTATGGACGTGCCATGGCCTAGCGGTTAAGAGCACCGCACCGGACTCATGCTCTGGTGTTTCAGAGGCAGCAGAATGTGGATTTGAGCCTGGGTCTGGACACTTGTGCCCTGAAGAAAGGCACTTAACCATTATTGCTTCGTCCTTAGGATGGGACGTTAAGCCGTAGGTCGCGTATGTTGTGTAATGCAATGCAAGTAAAAGAACCCAATGACACTTATCGCTAAGAATACGGGTTTGCCTCGGTGTTTCTGGCCTCCTGTTAAAACTCCCATGCAGAGTATTTAGGAGAAGAACCAATAAGTACCAAGTGCGTACCCAATTACTTTCTGTACAAGACGTACCAGGCAAAAAAATGTGTTACAGAAAATGATGGTCACTATTTCATGATCTTGCACGCCTACTCACAAAGCGCTATTTAACTTGAATACTGACTAACTACCAGGGCAATATCTGAAATATTTCCTTATTAAAGGGAATATACATCATTTGCTTTTGCTGTAATTTTCAGAAATGGATGGAATTGGGGGGTTGGAAATATATAGCAAATATAGTTACACTGACTTTTTTGAGGTTTTGGGTTCGAAAATGCTATAAAAACCAAGAAAAACAATCATTTTCCTGTAGTCTGGTTCCCTGACTCCATTTAAGAAGAAACAGAGCAGTTTACATATATTGGGGAATTGAAAGGTCAGGGAACCAGTCTAGCTGGCTTGTACCCGTTCATATAGGTGTGTAATCGATTGCAAACAAGTGCGATGGTCAACTGGGGCCAGTATTTGAAAAAAGCCAGTTTTTTCCAACGCTGATCGGCCGATCAGCGTTGGAAATTGATACAAACATACCACTTTTCTTGAAAATGACAGTATACCAGGTGCCATGATTTTACAGGATGCTTTACACTGTCATTCACTAACAGTCCAGCAAGGTATTTCAAAATGATTTGGTAGTTTTATTTTTTGATGTTTGCAAATGTTGTATTTTCCCTTTAACTTTGGTCTCTGAATAGTTTGGACGAGGCTTCGCAGGTGATTCGCGGACATCACATGGGTGCATTAGCTTGAATATAGTATGCATAAGATATGCTCCGAATTGTCTGGGTAGCACTGCCAAAGTTCCCAAGCTTGATTTGATTCACCTTGTTGATAGTGCCCTTTACCTTTGGGGAATACATTCTAAACCCAGTCTGGGATCCAGACTTCATTTACCTGAGATTAGTCTCCCTATGTTGCAGGAATTGTCCCAGTTGATTGCAGGCTCTGACTAGCAGGTTAGGCTCACTGTCATGATGAATGATCAGATTGATGGCTTCAAACAAGACGGCGTTCTTGGAATTGGAATGTTGAACCTTCTTGGACTTGGGCGGCTCCTGGTAGCAAAAGAAGCCAGATTAACTCATGAGTAACCGTAGTATATGGTGTTACAGTGTGTTTACTCACTGATGAACCCATACCTACCGGTATGCAACCACAAAATGTGACCTGTTCTGTCAAAAGCAGACGCTTCTGGGCATAGGTTGAAATTGAGATACATGTAGGGCCAAAAAACGCTGTGGGGGTGACTTTATTGATTTTCAAATTTTTGCATATTTGTAATCCTGAACATGTCTAAAATATATTATAAAAGTTTGAAACCCTAATTTGAACTCTACATATACTATTTTTGATGATTTTGATAAGGTATATCAGTTAAGGAAATGTCTGTTTTGTGACATTCGTGGCCATTTTCTCCGTTTCTACTTTTCGACACAATGAACTTCAAAATAGCATAACTCTGCCCAGGAATGACCGGTTTCAAAAATTAAACCACCTATTAAAAGGAAAAAGAACGTATGTTAACAATATGTAAAAATATCATTTTCGACCTTATGCCCAGAAAAGTCTGATTTTGACAGAACAGGTCACAAATGCTCACGCAGTATGGGGCACTACATTTAGTGTGGATTCGGAACTACAAAACGCTTACACTGGTCACAAAGTGTAGATAAGGAACTTCGAATCTTTATCCACACTTTGAACATGTCGGAAAATCGTTCTCCATAATGAGCATTAATAGGACCGTCTGCATGAAAACTTTCCTTCCGAAAACTACCAAAGCATCTTCACTGTCAGATTCTCCGCCGTCACTGCAAAAACTCCCTTTTAGTCAGAAAGAAATCGTAGTCTGAACTATCCATGTTGACGTAAGGTGCCTACACACAAAATGACTTGGTTGTATGGGTGTGGCGATACACATTCTAAACACGCCACAATGCTGGATTACGTATAAGAGCCTCGAAAAACTCCCTTGCAAATTATCCTATTAAATGGCCATGAGATATGCAAGTCTTTTTATCTCCACTCACTGGACTGTTAATGACAATACTTCTTTTGACGCAATGGTTTAAGTCGGAGAATACACTCGCAAGTGTGGATTCTTAATTTACGAATTCACTCGGCGCTTTGCTTCTCGTGAATTCTTAAATTACGAATCCACACTTTTTCGTGTATTCTCCTTAACGTCAATCAGTATGATTGTGGGCACCAATCCACACTGTCCCAGCATATTCTCAATGACTCCAATCTGAGGTGCTTCTGAAATGGCTGCAAAGCCTTTCACCAACCGTAAGACGCTGTAGGCTACATGTCATGCCAAATAAAATCACGAGCCATTAAAACGTTGCAGTTGCAGGTGACCACACGCTAATTTTACATGCTGTACATATGTGATGCGATCAAGCTAAATGAGTCGTTTGTCAACCCTGGTGAACAAAAAAAATTATTACAGATTTGAAAAAAGCACAATCTCAGTATTACTGCTGTGAAAACCGCATGAAGGTACTATCTTTAGTTCACTAATTATGGAAGTTGAAACACCAAGAGATGTGATGAAGTGTCCCTAGTGTGGCCTGTATCTCCAAATGAAAATTCCCAACAAATGACTCATTAAACTTGATAGCATCACATATTTGGAACAAGTTGATGTCTTTGTGTACAACAGCTGTTTTAGCAATTTGGAAAAGTACGCATTCAAATAAAAGGCATTTTTTTTTTCTATGAATAATGATATTTGTGCTTGTCCAAGAATCCAGGATCAAAGATGGCAGATCAGTTGCTTTAATAGTGCACTGGCTAATTAGCATGTAGCAGTCAGTCAAATTAGTAAAAAGGTGAGTAGTAATATAATACATGTATAGCTCTATGGAAACACCACAGTGATCCAAATAGTCAGGAGCCCACAAGCAACATTCCACCATACCAACCTGTGCTTTATTGAGTATAGTCTCCAGACACTCATTCAGCCTGTTTCTGTTAGCGGGGTCCTCGGGTGGCCCATAGAACTGCAGAAGTCGCAGCAGTTTGACAGAGAGCCACGGAGCTGGCACGAAATAGTAGGTGTAATCCTGAAGATCTGTGTAGGATGATGTCACAATCTAGGACAACAAAACAAATTCAGAATGTGTTACTCTAAAAAACCTGCTGATTCCCCCCTTCTGTTTAAAGCTATAGTCCATCATTTGTAATTAGTGCATGTTGTTCGTTTGAAGCAACAAAAGTGTTCAAAATCTAATGAAGGATACTGAACAACTTACTTGATGAAGTTTCAGCTCAGCTTCAGATTCATATTCCGAGAAAAACAGCATTCTAGGATCTCAATTTAAAATCAAAAGTTGCTAAATCATGTTTCGAATTATTTTGAATTGCAGCTTTACGCGATGTCGTGCACTGATCCGACGAATTATAGCAACCGCGCGCGCCTGTGCGTTGTTCCAATGCTTGTGCGCGCTGCGCCGAATAACAAAACGAACAACTAATTTAAATTTTCCTACGGTGCTTCTTAAGAAGCACCGTTGAAAATGCCTTCTTTCGTTGATTTCTTCAAAATGAGAGCTTGCCAGAAAGGATAATTTCACAGGGAGTTTAGTCCCCTTCCTATCTTTCAACCAAGTATGTTTTTCAACAATAATTACGCCAGTTACTTTTTTGGATAGCTGCAAATGATGGACTCGGGCTTTAAAAGGTCACAAACAGTCAAAGGTTCCTTCCACTTCCCCTGCTATACTTTTAACACAGAACAGGCCCCAACATTGTAAAATTATACATTAGATAAGCACAATGGTAAGTCAAATAACTTTACAAATAACTTTTTCCTTCCTTTCTCCTGGTGTTTTTTTGCTCTCCTTTTTTACATTGTCTCCTTCTTATTTAAGTATTTAGAAATAACTTATTTCTCCTTTTCTTGTTATTCTTCTTTTCGGCTATTCCAACTCTGTCTTCTGGTGTTCTTATTTACAAATTGATAAACTTCTTTTATTGCTTTCTTTGCTTTGGAAACTTTTTCTTTTGGTGTTGCTATTTACAAAAATATACAAGTATTTTCTTTGATTGCTTTTCTTTGCTTTGGAAACTGTTTTCTTCTGGAGTTCTTATTAACAAAACTTAAACTGTTTCTTCTGGTGTTCTTATTTACAAATATAAACTTCTTTTATTGCTTTTCTTTGCTTTGGAAACTTTTTCTTTTGGTGTTGCTATTTACAAAAATATACAAGTATTTTCTTTTATTGCTTTTCTTTGCTTTGGAAACTGTTTTCTTCTGGAGTTCTTATTTACAAAACTTAAACTGATTCTTCTGGTGTTCTTATTTACAAGACTTCAATTTTGTCATCGGGTTTTCTTTAGGACTTCTTTATATTTTTTGGAGGGGTGTTTGGGTTAGGATGCTCCCTAATAATGCGGAGTGGAAGTCAAGGAAACATTTTCCAGAGCAAAGGTGATGTTGCAGGATGCTCAGCCGGAGCGTGTGATCAGGGCACGTCTCTTTGGTGTCTTCTGGTACTGCTGATGGCACTGCACACAGATCTTGGCCTTCATGACAGGCATGCCGATGCATTGATGGTTTGGTCCGTTGATGACTGGCACTGTTCTGAGACAAAGCTGTTGGTGTCGTCTGGTCAAGCCGTCGGCAAACCTGGCGATCAGCCTCTCACCAATCTCCACAGTGAAGATCCGGTGGGTCAAGGGACTTTGGTGGGCTCATCCTTGCTGGTGTTGGCCTTGTAGCATAGCCAAGCATTGACCCGATCGACATCGACAAGACAGTATAAGATCTTCTTCAATCACCTCATGGATTGTCGACTGCAGCTGTGGTAGGACCGGAGCTGGTCTGCGCGATCCACTCCACCCATGAATTGACGAGGGGAGGAGCTGTTCTTTCCGCTATCTTTCTTCTCCCCCTTGTCCCTGAAGTTCCTTGCCAGGTAGTCAGTGGTCTGATTTCTGTAGCCCCGGTGAGAGGTGGACAGGAAGGACACCACCTTGGTGTCACGCCATAAGCCCACGGTCATCTTCCCCTTCTGTCGGCTGGCTGCCTTCTCCTTCTGCCGGGTGGGTGTCTTCTCCTTCTGCCGGCTGGGTGCCTTCCCCTTCTGCCGGCTGGGTGCCTTCTCCTGCCGGCTGGGTGCCTTCTCCTACCCACTGGGTGCCTTCCCCTTCTGCCGGCTGGGTGCCTTCCCCTTCTGCCGGCTGGGTGCCTTCCCCTTTTGCCGGCTGGGTGCCTTCTCCTGCCGGCTGGGTGCCTTCTCCTGCCCACTGAGTGCCTTCCCCTTCTGCCCGCTGGGTGCCTTCCCCTTTTGCCTGGGTGCCTGGGACATCGTGCCTCTGGGTATCTTGGCCATGGCCTTGATGTGCTTGTGTCGAGTGGGGTTTCTGTCAGACTTGATGTTAAACTTATGATGACCTCTTGATGGTGCCAAACAGGTAGGTCTTCTTTTGTCGCAGCTTGGTGGCGAGGGGGACAGAAGTGTACAGCCTGTCACAGTACAGCTGGTGGTATTTTCCCAGGAAGGGATCCATCATGCGTAGGGAAATGTCCAGCATTTTTTGCTTAAATTCGGAATTGACCAACATGTTGAGATAGCCAGTCGTTGCTTCACACAACATAGACCTTAAATCCCATCTTGCAGGGCTTCAGGGGCATGAAGAACCTCTTGACATTTGCCTTCGCTCCCTTGTAGCGTATCATCCCCTTGTTTAGAGAGAGCTGCTGCTGAGGGTTGTAACTGGTTCGGCAGCGATCCAAGACGGTGTCCCAGATCTGCTGGAGCTGGTATAGAGGGTGGCTCTTCCCGAACATGTAACGGTCAGCCTTGCCTCTGATGGTGTGAGGACCCTTGGTCGGATTAGTGTAGCACAAGAGCTCTGTCAGGATAATAAATCTTGCCTTTAGCATGGTGGCCTTGATCACGCTGTTTCCGAGAGAGCCTGTTTTTGACCAGTCATCATCGCAGTTGTTGTTACTGTGAACCCCCTGAATGATTGTGATGCCGAACCAGGCTCTGATTTCTTGAGGGGTTGTTTCCTAGTGAATCTGGGATTCGGACTGCCATTGATGTTGGTCCAGCGGGCAATCTTTTTGAAAAGCTTCTTGTGGGAAAAACTGAAGAAAATACTTCAGGGGTCATCATCCTCTGGCCGTTGGAATGTAGGTCCCAGCTTGGTGTTTCCCTTGAATTTTGACTGGAAACTTTGTCAGGTCCCTGGTCCATCCGTGTTGATCTGGTTGATATTCTAATTCAGGTTGCTGCTGGCGGCGGGGCCTTGCTGAGTCGTTGTCTGATTGTGGATCTATAGATACTCATCATCTACCACGAGTGGCCTTAGGTGCATCACCGTTGTCATCTCCCGATGCAGAGGGGCTTGACATGAATTTCGACAGCAGGTCAGCCACAGATGAAGAATTGTCAAGGTGATCCACTGGAACGTAGGCCTCATCTTCATCATCTTCCTCCTCAAAAAAAGAAAGTCATGATGTCTTCTTCATCCTCTACCTCCTCCTCCTTCTTCTTGGCCTGTGCTTGTTGTGGGTCCTCTGACTCTGAAGTCTCCTGTTCCTCCACATTTGCTCTCTTTCCGTGGTCCTCAGACGGTGATGCATCTGGTCCCGCATCCGATCCTCCGTCTCGCTTTCTCACTCATGCCATCGATCTTGTGAATATCTGTAGCTTCCCTCCGGTCAAATTCTGCTGCAAGACTGCACTTCTTTGAAACTCATCCTTCTTAACACCAGTAGCATACGTGTGGAAGTACTATTCCAAGCACAGGGAATGAAGCAGCAGTACTGCAGCCCACTAAATCTTGACGTCAAAAACAGTTTTGCGTAATGAACCACCGAATCTGCTCGCATATCACAGACCCTTGCTATGCAAGGGGATGTTCCACAGACTAGCATTTCACTTGCCGTGGTTGAATAAATAATATTAACCCTAACCGCCCTGAATCCTTTTGCAAATTGGAGGAATTTGCAGGATTGAGGTTACATGGCAAAAGTAGGTTGCTGATTTCGGAGGACGCACTGTGTCGAGGTCTTGGGCCGGACCTTGTGTTGTTTATGCTCAGCCGTGCATAAATTTTGTCCTTGATTGTACTTGACAACCTCCGCACTGCTCCAGGATGTCACTGCCTCTGCCTCAGCCTATTGACAGTCATAGCCGGAGGATTTTGCAGGATTCAGGCAGTGGTCACCCCTCCATGGACCATATTCAAGAAATAACGGAGGAATTTGCAGGATTGAGGCTATATGCTATATTTCCATGGGGCCACTTGGAGGACTTTGCAGGATTGAGGCTACATCCTAGCAACAAGGCCTAGGGAGTTAATGTTAATAAAAACTTACCCTACTGAGCCTGGATACAGCCAGTGAGACGCATCCCTTGTAGTCATCAGGATTATCCAGGACTAGATCATGAATCAGACTCGTAGCTGCTGTCACTACGCCCTGGGTGGTCAAGAAACAAGTCATTCTTATGATCATGACGGGTACCGCATTAACCCCTAACCCTGCCAGACACAACACAGTGCATCAGGTGGAAAATAACTGGCGCACTTTGATACATTCAGCTACCAACACCAGTGCATGAATGGCCAGCTCTGAAACAATGAGAGCTAGGTTCCATTGAACAATGCCACAGTTGTATCCTGCTGCATCCGGTGACCACAGACTCTGAGGCAGTTTGGCCTTAAAGACTTTTCCCCTGATGGATCTTGCTACATTTGGCAGGCTTGTCACTTAGACAAGTGGTGCATGTTGCTACGTTTGGCACGGTTCTAGCAAACATACGCTGGAGGGTTAGGGTTAATGGCAAACGCCGCATCAGAGTTTGAAATTTGAACTATTTCTTTTGCAACACTATACTTGAAGAAATTTCAGCATAGTATGATGCCCAACTTCTCAGATACATAACAATCAAAAGACCACTCATCCAGACTTATTTCTCAGGCAGATATTATACAAATATTGAGTGGTTTAAGAGTGGAATGGGAGAAATATTATCGCAAGGTAAAATTTGGACTTTTCCATTTGACGAGGCGAAGCCCAGTGAACTGGAAAAGTCCAGATTTTACCGAGCGACAATATTCCTCCCATTTCACAATTTAAAGCCACTCAATATTTGTTTTATATAACTGACAAATAGATCCTTGTCATTTGGTATATTTGAACTTTTATTTCAATTCTAAATTGGTGGAAAATGTTTTTCTTCCTTTCAAACCACCCCTTCACGAAACTGTTTGAACCCAACGCTGTAGCGCTGGCTCTTTAGAACAATAGGCGCTACGCGTAACGCTAAATGCACAATGCTAAACGCGCACACCAGCATGCATTTGCACCCAAATACCGCGTCATGGAACAAGAATGATCGTAACTGTTCAATAGTATTTCCCATTCCCCATGGGCGAATGGGACTTTTTGAGCCCCGGCGTGATTGGGAGCAATAACGAATGTCACGTGATATGAGTTCTACCAATCAAATGATAAGGATCTGTGTGTCTGTGTGTCAGTTACATAATTAATAATGTGAAGGGTCCCCCTATCTATCTGTATGTGTGTCACCGTGTCTGTCCCCCCATCTCTTACCATGTGTTGATCATTCAGCAGGTGTATAATTCTACTCTGATATTCCCCGCTAGGGATACAGTGAGGGTCCGTCCTGTACAGGCGCAACAAACACAGCGCAGCGCTCTGCTTCACTTCATCAATGGTGTCCCTGCAAAGAACAAGTGGTTAAATGTTTTGTCCGAGATTTATAACTCCAATAGTACTTAAACTACATCATTAATTGTTATACACGGTAAAAGATCGTGAATTTGCATTGGTCGAGAGTGAATCACGTGACATGCAACAAAAACGGATCAGCATTGTACACCGTGGTACATGAGTGATTTACCCTACGGCATGTACGGGGTACATTACAATGATTTTTCCCACTATTGAAAGTGTTGTTTCCACCGCGTTTTGTTATATTTGTAATATCAAATAATTTTTAAAAAAAAGTAAAATCTGTCATGAGCCAATTTCTACTAGAATATTTCTTCTCCCCCTGGATGGGATGCTAGTCCATCGCAGGTTACTCCCCCGCTAATGCCGGTACCCATTTATACTACTGGGTGGAGAGAGGCAAGTGGGGGTGAAGTGGCTTGCCCAAGGACACAACATTATGACCAGCAGGTGGATTTGAACACCTGACCCTCTGATCATGAGTCACGAACCCTAACCACAAGGCCACACTCCCCTACAGACCAAATATAACTCCATTTAAATTCAGAGAGAACTATAAATCCAGGGACGAACGTGCCTGAAAAAGAAGGCCCGCGGATGTTCCAAGTTGTTTGTTCAGCTGATCTGCATATTGTAGCCCAGCTGTGTAAGATCACTTCGTACAGTACAGCTGTAGGAAAGATTTCCATATACGAAGTTCACTCAACACCCTGTGTACAAACCCTATGAGATTGGACTGAAAAATTCTAAGTGTTTTCTAAGAAAATGCTTCTATTTTCTCACTGCTCAAATTGACTTTAAGGACATGAAATTGCTATCTGGGGGCTTGTTAGTCAATACAGAGGAAAATTAGTGAACTTCGTATATGGAAATCTTTCCCAGTTGTTTGGTTTTGTTTGCGGTTAACCATCGATCATCGGACTCTATCATTGAACACCTTGACAAAGGCTTGTATGTTTTGCGCTTAGCAGCTTACCCTGATACCAGGAGCTTGGGCACCTCCGGTCCCAGCGTCTCGGCCATAGCTTTGCTGCCGATGTTAGCGATGCAATGCAAGGCAAGGTTGATATGGATCGGGGTACGGCTGCTGATATCATTCTTAATGTTCTGGATGACTAGGTTCATCAGCTCCGAGTTCTCGTTCACCAGGACCGAGATGAACAGGTAGCCCTGACAAGGAGAAGACAACATGAGAATTCTAGACCAAGTGCAACAGGCCTCGTGGCTTAGCATGCTTAGCGATGCAATGCTAGGCCAGGCCCAATTTCACAGCGCTGCTTAACACTAACAGTTAGCAGAAAAAATGTGCTTACTATAGCAGAAAATCATGCTGCTGCCGCACAATTTCACAGCTTGGACATGCTCAGGGAGCGTCTCATAAGTTGGAACGCTTGGAACGTTCCACCGAGAAACATGGCCTGTTTCGATTGGGAACGTGTGCTGCCCCCCACTGTGAACAGCCATGGAATGCCTAGCCTTGGTCAAGGCGCTAGTTGTTATTCATCCGGCCGTAACGCGGTAAACGATATCTTCGCTAGCGCTAAGCATGCAGTCATATGTCTATGCATGCAGTGCAATAAAAATACAGCGCGAACAGCGACCTCACGCGGCCACTATTTTTATGCAAATCAGTTGGACCCAATCTAGCGCCTTGGTTCAATCGTCCATGTGAGGTTTTTGGGGTGGTGCTTATTATGTTAATAGCCTTAGCTGACCTTAAATGTCGTTTTCTTATTGGTCGATCGTTGCGTGGAAACTTGCAGAGTGAAACGTGGCACCGTACATAATCCATACACGTACACGTTGTGTGTCTCTGCACACGGCACCAATGCCCAAAAAGTGTGGTTCCTGTCACGTCCGCAAAAGGTGAATGGCTGCAAATAATTTGATGACGTCCGGATTTACCAAGGTGTGATTGGACACTCCACATATTAGCCCCGCCTACACTTATCTGTATTCGCATACGAGGTCCTGCGCTAGAAATCCAGCGCAAAATAAAGAAAAACATAAGCTTTTGCCGACGATTGAACCAAGGCGCTAGATTGGGTCCAACTGATTTGCATAGAAATGGTGGCCGCGTGAGGTCGCTGTTCGCGCTGTACTTACATTGTAGCACCGCATGCATAGCACTAGCGAGGATATCGTTTACCACGCTACGGCCGGGATTAATAACAACTAGCGCGCCTTGACCAAGGCTATGGAATGCCAGGTGATCCCGTGTGAGAACATTGGTCAATGCGCGTGCATGCTTTATACTTGGGAACGGTCTGTTCCAGTTGGGAACACACTGGGAACATTCCCAAAGGAACATTCCATACAGAACGGGAACGTTTCAACTTCTGAGACGCTCCTAACGGTTGCGCGCATAGGATTTCTATTGTTACGTCACTGAATTCAGCAACTTTTTCCTCTAGGGTTAATGTTTTGCTGTGCTTACTGCTTTCGCTCTCTATGACATACGGTAGTAAGCACAAAATTGGCTGTTAAAGGGAATATACATCATTTGCTTTTGCTGTAATTTTCAGAAATGGATGGAATTGGGGGGTTGGAAATATATAGCAAATATAGTTACACTGACTTTTTTGAGGTTTTGGGTTCGAAAATGCTATAAAAACCAAGAAAAACAATCATTTTCCTGTAGTCTGGTTCCCTGACTCCATTTAAGAAGAAACAGAGCAGTTTACATACATTGGGGAATTGTAAGGTCAGGGAACGAGTCTAGCTGGCTTGTACCCGTCCATAGGTGTGTAATCGATTGCAAACAAGTGCGATGGTCAACTGGGGCCAGTATTTGAAAAAAAGCCAGCTTTTTCCAACGCTGATCGGCCGATCAGCGTTGGAAATTGATACAAAAATACCACTTTTCTTGAAAATGACAGTATACCAGGTGCCATGATTTTACAGGATGCCTTACACTGTCATTCACTAACAGTCCAGCAAGGTATTTCAAAATGATTTGGTAGTTTTATTTTTTGATGTTTGCAAATGTTGTATTTTCCCTTTAAGACGAGCTATGAAATTGAGCCCAGGTTGATATGGACCGGGTTGCGGTCGCAGACGTATTCCCGATGTTCTAGATTTAAGGGAAGAATGTAAAACAAGTATATACTTCAAACAAACCCAAAGGCAAAATGATAATTTTTTTTTTAAGGCATTAGTGAAGTAAAACTGAAACTACAATTCTAGATGATATTTTCGTTGCTTTCATTTTCATCTTTAACAAGCAGTTGTGTTTCAAGGCCCAAAATATACTGTGTGTTTCCGGTAACATGGCAAAAAAACCAGTTCGTTTATACATACATATGTACATGTACACAGCACCTAAATTTACATAGGACAACTGGACAAGTAGACATACAAGTTTGTAAGAAAGCTCTTTAAAAACATAAAAATAATCCAGATTTTAAATGTATTCGGGATATTTTTTCACTTCCAAAAAAAAAAAAAATAGTGTCGATGTCTACGGATAAAATTGAAAAAGCAATTGTCAACTATAAAATTAAAAGGGAAAAAAAATGAAAAAAAGAAAAAAAAACAATTGAACTGCTACCCAAACAATTTTTTAGGGAAGATCAGACAATACCAGAAATATTTATCTTTTTGCCTGGTAACTAACCCTCCCTCTATGGCTGGCAATTTCAACAAGGCCAGCCTTGTAGTCAAAATAAATCAGGTGACTGTTTTCAACAGTTGAGTGCTCCCTGCCTTCATAAAGCAGGATTAACTGGCTGTGATTGTTATGTAACCTGATACAGCTATGCTTTGACCGTAGGAGATTGATAAGCCAGCTGGGCCTAGCAGTTACCTGCTTTTGTCTGTTGATAGAATTTGACTGTCACAGTACCTACATGAAATATGATCTGACTGTTGGCGACTATCCTGTGTAAAAGTCATGGCAGGGAACAGGATTGAAGTTTTGACTGTCTGTGACTGATCAAACAAAAGGAGGGTTTTAATGGAAACGGGGATAATTTAAAAACAGAAAGGTGTGTAAGATTGAACATCATTTTGTAAGACTCACAATTTGTTTCTCTGTGTACTTGTTGGAGCTGAGCAGATTGACGGCCTCCATGTGACCAAAGTCAATGTCATGGCCGAGCAGAAAGATGAACAGCAGCTTGCACACATACTTCTTCTTCTGGTAACCGTCTAGAGTTTTATCACCTGTATTGACGAGGACAAAACAGAGAAATACTACAAGTTAAAAACCTGCACGATCCCCCTGGCATGCTGGCAGTATTTATTCAGTCAGTTAGTAAGCACACTTTTCTGTGTACCTAACCAAAATCAACAATGACCTCATTTGACCCCTAGATGACCTTTTGACCTCAAATGACTCAAGTCATCTGGAGTCTCCCTACCCAAAGATTATTGTCACCAAGTTTGGTTGAGAGCGAAGTCTGACTTTTCATATGACAGCACTTTTCAGTTTACCTAACCGAAAACAACAATGACCTCATTTGACCCCTAGATGACCTTTGACCTCAAAGGTCTCAAGTCATCTAAAGTCATCTTCAGTCCCCCTACCCAAAAATTATTGTCACCAAGTTTAGTTGAGATTGAAGTCTGACTTTTTATATGACAGCACTAAACTGTTAACCTACACTGTACATACATGTGTATTAAGTTGCCATCAGTTTGACCTTGCGATGACACTAAACAGTCGGTGACTGACTTTTCAGGATCAAGCTGCGCCTTAGCCTAGGCCATTGGGAACATATCAGTCACTGCATTTTGTTTGTGATCTGAGAGTAACTATATTAACCCTGCTATGCAAACATACATTCTGTGCCAAGTAGTCCTTGCGGTCAAAATCAAACAAGTGACTGTTTTCAACAGTTAAGAATTCCCAGCCTACATAAAGCAGGATTGACTGGCTGGGGCTGTTTCAGTAAATTGATACACCTCTGCTTTGACTCCCTGTGAGTGATAAAACAGCTGTGACCACAACTTGCCTGCTTTGTCTGTAGACCTAGTTTGACTAGTCACAGTGCTTGCTTGACATGTGATCTGACTGCTGGTGACTAGCCTTTGATAAAAGTATAGCAGGGGAAGTGGGAGACATTTTGACTGTCGCTGACCGTTTAAATAGCAGGAGTGTAAAGACGATTGGCATTAGTCGGCATTCAAAACAATCAACAGTCGGAGTAGAAACATTTCAACATCTGTGTCGTGATCGAAGATGCTCTCGACAGGCCTGAATCAATCGCAGTCGACTTGTGTGAATTAACAACGTCATGTGCAAATCTGGATATCTAATTTAATTTTTTGTGAATAATCGTCACGTCGCAGGTAACGTGAGCATAATTTTATTCTGTGTCAGGATGCGGCTTGTTCCACAATAATCACACGATTTCTCAGATTTGTGACTTGATGTTTGACATTTGTTTGATGCAGTTGGTGCCGTCGCGGCGCAAGCAAATCGCGGGTCGACCTGAGGCCGGCTTACGGTTCTAGCCATCTGCATCGAGGTTTGCCAATTGATACCAAAATGGGAATTCACTTGATCGACTAAAACTAAAAAGCGGCTTAATACAGTCGTGGCCAGCAGCAACAGAGCTACATGTAATCATGAATGGCAAATTACTGGACAGACTGTGACAGGCCTGTGCAACTAAGCGCAAATAATTAAGCCATCATGAATATTACGGCCTCAGCAATGTGCTCTGATGGTCTGCTCAGCCCACTTCTATAGCAGTCTGACTTGGCTACATATGGCTATCATACATGTAACGGTACATGTTTGGTGTACATGTATGTCCCATGTACATGTATGGTACATGCACATGTAAAGTACATGTATGGTTTACCGGTACATAGTATGTACATGTAGTACATGTTACAGTAAATGTACATGAACATGTACATACCATGTCCAGCTTGTGTAATTATATGCACATTTACAATGCACATGAACACTGACCGGTAATGTGCATGTTCATGTTCATGGATGTACATGTCAATGTTACGTACATGTACATGTACCATGCACATTTACAATGCACATGAACATGTACTGGAACTGTACATGTTCATGGATGTACATTGTACATGTACATGTACATGTACATGTACATGTTTGCGTACATGTCATGTACACATCGTACAGGCACATCATTTGCATGTGTGATGTACAGGTACATGTACGTGTATGTGCATGTTTAGTGAAATGGTGTAAGGTCCAGTATCAAACAGGTAGACAAGGTACAATGTAGAGTCAAATTACCATAACAAAAGCATCATGTTTATAATGTACATACATGTATACATGTGTACACATATATACTTTGTATGCATGCATTGTGACTTGGCAATTGAATCTGTCCTGACATGGTGTCCCAGTTGCATTGACATGTCCTGATTTGTGCAGCGCTGATGGAGCACACGGAGGACACATGATACAATTACATTGTAACTCACTGGATCCAATGAATGATCTGGCAAGCTGTGCACATAATGTGCAGTCAGACACAGTGGGCCTGTACCACCGTACTACGTTACATGCCACTAATGCAGGGCAGATGTACATGTAGCCCACATGAATGCATATGATCAATATGCATACTATGATCAATTTCATTTCTTTTATTTGTCTCACATCGTGGCCCAAAGGGCCAAATTCCAAAAGGATTTTACATTAAAAACAATTAATTCTAAAAGCGATTAAAACTTGCATAATACAAAAAGAAATGAGTAAAATAGGGAAGGCAATACATTAAAATTGTACATAAACAAACACCACATAACTAGGGAAACAGAACCATACAAGAATGGAGTGACAACATGCAGCCCCCCCCCCCCAAAAAAAAAAATGGGTATCATGTACATGATACCCATGATACACATAATACACATGTACATTACATGCACATGTATGCAATGTGCATTTACAATTCGTGACATTTAGCAGTTTACATGTGCGCATTGTACTGCAAAATAACTCTGTTCAAAAAACATTCAGTTAAATTTCCAAAATTCCTCTTCATATGTTGTTTTAAAACCTAACCGCCCTGAATCCTTCAAAATCCTCTTTGCCAAAGTGGAGGAATTTGGAGGATTGAGGTTACATGGCAAAAGTGTGTTTCTGTTTTCGTAGGATGCACTTTGTCAAGGTCTTGGGCCGGACCACAGAGCTATATTAAATTACTAGAGCGCTAACTTCGTGTACAAAGTAATGCCTGCTGGGCGCATCCATGTTTGTGCACAAACCTATGGAGACCTAGAAATTTTGAATGGCTATTTGCATATCTGCGTTTGTATTCCATACTGGTGCGTTACCGAAGCCAATACGCCCAAAACCGAAACGCACGATCAGCAAATGAGCGTGTTATTTTGCTCTACGCAAACAGCGCAACATGTGCGCGTATACGCTGCAGATGCTTTTTGCCGTCATGACGCGCTTAAGTTGTTTGCGTATCTTCTACTTGCGCGTTGCATGTAGAGTACACTTTCAAACTTCAATCTTTCTAATTTAATTATGTTCTACAAACACGCACATGAATTCAAAATGTCTGCGCCCAGGACGGCTTCAAAGCGTCTCCACGCGCAGAATGACAAGTTAGCGCTCTAGTAATTTAATATAGCTCTATGGGCCGGACCATGTGTTGTTTTTGCTCAGCCTTGCATAAATATAGGCCTGGATTATGTTTGAAATCCTCCGGACTGCTCCAGGATGTCACTGGCCAAGCCTCAACATATTGACAGTCACTGCCGCAGGATTTTGCAGGATTCAGGCAGTGGTCACCCCTCCACGGACCATATTCAAGAAATAATGGAGGAATTTACAGGATTGAGGCTATATGCTACCAGTATTTTTCTATGAGGCCAACTCATATGTTTAACTTCTTACGCGACTGACGTGACTCGCAGGGCCGCTGTATCTGTCCCATCACACATGTGACTCGTGTCTTGTCTGGTACGAACTCAAACCTGACTGATGTTGACGTACATGATCGACATTCTTCACAATCGAAGTTGGAACAATTCCTTTTAATGCATGTTTAGCCTAAGGTTAATCAAGCCTGATTCACCAAAAACATAAAGTTTAATGTTCGTTCGTAAAATTAATGAGCTTTCTAGACTATTACCTTTGAACTTGGAGCGTATGTTGGCCAGCTCCTTGTTGATTCGCTTGACTTCTGCTTCCTTACTCTTGCCTAGGATAGAAAGAAAATCTCAGATTACGCAACCAATTTCCTAATGGATAACTGAGAACACCCACAGCTATTCACAACTAAAAGTGTGACCTCACAGCCTACATGTACATGGTCAGTCACTTGAGAACAAAACAGTACATGTACAAAAAGTAAATTTCTAATTTTAGCCTTAAATATAGGGTAGATAATTTGAGCTTTTTTTTTTTCATTTGAAGCAACAACAGTGCTCAAAATCTAAAGACAAGTGCTTTTATCTAACCTGATAACTTTTTAGCTCAGTGAATGCTGTTTATTCTGAGCAAACAATTCTAGGATCTTGGTTTTAATTCAAAAGTTGTCAAGTCATGTTTTACTTCAATAGGGCACCGGTTTCCGTGCTACCCGTAAAATGCACTCCATTAGATCTATTTCACCAAAAAAAATCCATCTAAGGCCAAAAAAAAAGTCTCCGGTTTCTGGTATGGAGCTTGCCCAAAAAGTGGTGCGGCGACGCAGCTTTTTTTTTTTTTTACCTGATTTTTTTGCTTCAAATGTCGGCTGATGACTGCAAATGGTGCCCGACTAAACTTAGTGCAAATATATGGGAGTCCAGAGAGGCCACATAAAGCTTATTCTCAAACATAACCCAATCTAAAAACACGTTGAAATTGTGCAGCAGCAGTATTCCAGTCAAACCAGTGAGTTTGGCGGTTTTGAGACATCATCTTTCATTGAAAAAAAAAACTTTTACATTTTGCCAACGCGCATGGCTACGGCGACGCGTGCGCATACCAGAAACTGGAGACTTTTTTTTTTGGCCTAATGAAAAGTTATAGATCTCTGTACAATGTATGTCTTGGGCGCGTTCAGGTCGATGTGTACGATCAGTCTATCGCGTTGCGTTATTGGTCAATCATGACATTATCGGTTGATCCCACTGCCACCTGTCGATCATCTTTTCTTTCTAATTCACAACTAGGTAGGATTTTTTTTAAAAAGGTAAGTAAAGTCCGAGATATCCTACCGCATCAACCCATCGTGCAACGCGATTGACCAATCTTGCAAATTGACCAATTGCGCCCAACATACCAGACTTAAGGCCAGCTCACTGGTTGAGTGGTAAGAAGTCTGCACAAGTAAGCAGGAGGTCGTGGGTTCGAGTCCCACCCGAGTCAGCTTGTAAATTTGTTCTTGCAAACCCTTGGGTAACGCCGAGTCTTAAACAGATTTTGTTTGATTAGTCAGGCAATGCTACCACAACTTACAGTTTCGGATATCTGAAATGAAGACTGCGAGTCCTCGCATTCCATCTCCTTTGACTGTTGGCATGATGGCTCAGTACTGGCTGACCAGCGCAGGCAAGAATCAAGGTTGGACGTCTCACTTGAGGGACTGTGGGAAGAACAAAAGATAAGTGTCACCTGAAGTACCGACTGTTTTGTTTTGTTGGTTCAATTCAATTCCAATCAACATTATTTTCACAGTGACATCCTCGATGTCGACCATATTTTATTGTGGATTATTTTTTGTTTTTCCTGCCCGTATGGTCACTGTTGATCGTCTGGCAGTGGTACAGTTAAAGGGAATGTACATCATTGGCTTTTGCTGTAATTGTCAGAAATGAACTATTTGAGGGGTTAGTATAATAGATCAAATATTGTTACGCAGATATGTTTGAAGTTTTGTGTTCGAAAATGCTGGAAAAACCAAGAAAAAAACAAAAATGTTCAAGTAGTCTGGTTCCCTGACTCCACTAAAGATGAAATGGATCAATTTATAGATGCTGGATAATTGTAAGGTAAGGGAACCAGTCTAGCTGGCCTGCACCCGTTCATGAACATGTAACCAATAGCAAACACAATTTTGACTGAAACAAAATGTTAAGTTTGGAGCAGTAGTTGAAAAATAGTTAGGTTTTTTCCAACGGTGGTCGGCCGACCACCGTTGGAACTTTATACAAAAAATACCACTTTTCTTGAAAATGACTTCACACTAGGTGCCATAATTTTACAGGATGCTTTAGAGTGTCATTTACCAACATCCTAGTAAGGTATTTGGTAAAACTTAGGTTGTTTTGTTTTTCGATGTTTGCAAATGTTGTATATTCCCTTTAAACATTACTCATGACCCTGGCATGTCATATCTACATGTAAAAGGTTCCGATTGTTTAATTGAGCAGTCTTATGAACCTATTTTGAACAGTAATATTTGTGGGTGCATATAGACAACGCAATTTTCATAAGCATTCTCAAGATGATGCAATGCATAAATTTACATGCATCTCTATTTTCAGTTTCACAATCGTAGTTTCACGTTTTGTTTTGTCGTTTTCTGACTTCTGTTAACATGTTTAACCCTAACTCCTGGGGCTCTTTTACTAGAAAGTATCCTGAATCCGCCAAAATTCACCAATTTTGTCACGCAAAAAAATGCTGGTATCCCGAGTCCATCAGAATCTCCCAGTGGTGGTAAAAATATATTATTTCTCTGTGATTTAAGGCTACTGCGTGCTCTTTTTCATTGCCTAATTCTTGGGAATTTTGCCGGATGAATCTTGGGAATTTCAAATTTGATGAGTATCCACGCTGACAACAACAACACAGCCATACATGTACATGACAGTACGGTGCCACTGTTTTTCTCAAGAAGCTTCCGAAATCATCAATATTTCTCATATTTTGGTCACTTTCAAGTCGAATAATTAGCTTCGTGAATGACTGAGTGCAAACTATGAGGTACATGTATGTTTAAAGGGAATGTACATCATTGGCTTTTGCTGTAATTTTCAGAAATGAATTATTTGGGGGTTAGTTTAATAGATCAAATATTGTTACACTGACATGTTTGAAGCTTTGCGTTCGAAAATGCTGGAAAAACCAAGAAAAACAAAAATGTTCAGGTAGTCTGGTTCCCTGACTCCACTGAAGATGAAATTGATAAAAAATGCCGGAAAATTGTAAGGTGAGGGAACCAGTCTAGCTAGCGTGCACCCGTTCATGAACCGATGGAACCAAAGGGCAAACAAAATTTGGACTGGAACAAAAATTGTAAATTTGGAGCAGTGGTTGAAAAATAGTTAGGTTTTTCCAACGGTGGTCGGCCGACCACCGTTGGAAATGTATACAAAAGTACCATTTTTCTTGAAAATGACTTCACACCAGGTGCCATAATTATACAGGATGCTTTAGACTGTCATTTACCAACATTCTAGTAAGGTATTTCGTAACAACTTGGTACATGTAGTTTTATTTTTCGATGTTTGCAAATGTTGTATTTTCCCTTTAAACCCTAACCCACCTCACTCCTCCAAAATCCTCCTGGCGGTTTTGGAGGATTCTGGAGGATTGAGGATGAATGGTGATTGAATCAAATGAGGATTCTGGAGGATTGAGGATGAATGGTGATTAAAGCATATGAGGATTTTGGAGGATTGAGGATGAATGGTGATTGAAGCACATGAGGATTTTGGAGGATTGAGGATGAATGCATTTTGAGGCAGGACTGTTGGATGATTTTGAAGGATTTGGCATTGGTTATCCTTCATTTAAACACGAGTGCAAAATTTTTGGATGAGGAGGATTTTGGAGGATTGACGATGAATGCATTTTGAGGCAGGACTGTCTGACAATTTTGAAAAATTTAGGCGGAGTTGAAAAATTTTGGAGGATTTTGGAGGATTGAGGATGGTTCTTAGCAAAAAAGGCCTAGGAGGTTAGGGTTGGATAATACTTGTTGTTCTTGTAGCTCCAGGTCTATACACGTCAAATTCCTGATGAGCATGTTAGCTGCAGTTACTCTAGTCCGAAAATTTGGGACACTCAATACTGTGTATGAGAGTCCCAAAACTTACAATGACTTAAGGTATTTAAAACATGCAATGCAAGAAAATAGACTGGCACCTGAAACAACCAGTCCAACACCGCTTCAGTACTGCATCAACATGATCAATCAACTGTGCCAAAAGAAACATGGTATGAACTGGGAACTAGTCTCTATTTACTACACATTTCTCCATAGTCAGCTACCACACTTATGACACTGAATGAAGGGGTCAGTCTTTTCAAATAGTTGGACCATGGTTGGACATGTACCAGTCTAGTCTTTAGCCTCATTTTGGAATCACTTGACTTCCCTGTCATGTGCAAAATACTGAAGAAATGTCTCGTTTAAAAATTGAATTGAGCCTGCAAACTTGGTTGGTGAAATACTGAGGACCTTTTCTTTGCCCAATGGAATTTTTGGTGAATCATTCACAAAGCAAACGATCAACTTGAAACACAACAAAACTGACTAAAATATGAACCAAAAATGATGATTTCGGCGGCTGTGTTCTTGAGGCAAACTTTCACAGCCTCCGCCATTTCTAGACCGCTGGCTACAATGTACATTGACCTCCAGCTCTAAATGTTGAATTCCCGATGAGCATTGGAGCTGGAGTTTCTCATTCTCAAGCTAGGAATTCTCCCCAAAATAATCTTTAGTTATGATTATAAACAACCAGCAGGCATGGTAGGAATATAAACAATGCTGGTTTGGTCGCATCCACTGCCCACTGTAGAAAGACCATCAATGTATTTTCATGCCAACGCTGCAAAATGGGCGATCGTGTAGTGTAGGGCCCCTGTTTTGAACAGATCAAATTAAAATCAAGAATTTTTTGATTACTTAAAAATGACATTATCAACCTAAAGCAGACTTCTCTCAATGCACATGATGCAATGACACCTTTTTGGTAATTTTTGAACAGTTTCTTCATGTTCTTGGGGTAGAAATTACAATTTTCCTGCGCGGTTTACGGACCGGTTGGTGCCATGTAGCATGACTTGCGTGCCCACGGCACATCGTGCAGTGATCGCCATCTTTATTTTCGTGTTGCGTTATGTCATTGTCAATGATCCTCATTTTAGTTTTTACCCCCAAATTTCCCTCAAAAATTGAAAACCCTGCCCTTTTTTCTATGACTTAGGCCTGCCTGTATGTTCTTAATGTCGCCAACTAGTTTGGTTGCTCAAATTATTTAAAAGTGATTTTGTTCCCCTTTTGTAGGAACCTGGCCCGTAGATACACGATCGCCACAAAATGATTTCTTACTACTGTGGGGCGAGTCGTCACCACAAAGTGCCGCACAAATGAAGGGCAGTGGGGGCGATTCAGTTTGGTGAACAAACCCCTAATTTGCTAATATGCTAACGTTAACTTATCGCCAAAATCAGAACGCTGAATTACAGAAGAAATCCCACAAGAAAAACATTTCAAGCCCTCAAATCCTTCCTACTTACTGCTTACTCTTCAACTGATAAAAATGAGGCCGGATGTGGCAAAACGTGCGCCTGAAGATCGGTCGACGGAAGCAACGCCTTCAACCTCTGCAGGGCGAGTTGGCCGCCATTACCTAAAAGACACCGTCTTTAGAATCCATCCGCCAGAGTGCAGTGGCCAAAAAAAAAAAAATCGTTGAAATTTCGTCTGCTAATAATGCACAAAATATAATCCGCTTTTTTGGCCCCAATTAAGCTTACATTTGTAAATTAATTATTCCATCACCAAACGTGGACAGAGTTTTTCTTAAACTGCCTCATTCAATAGTTAATCAGTTTTGCATTGCTGGAAAAATAACTCATTTTTTTTGGGGGGGGTGAAATTCGAAAACAAAAGTATGGGGAGTGATTTTCAGATCAATCAAAGTTAATACAGTATGCTAATCGAAAGAAGGCAAAAATCGATTACTGAAATGACACTGAAATATATAATTTAGCGAGTAGTTTTATGAGAATAATGTACATTATTAAAGCGCACATTAAAAGTTATAACTCGATATTTAGTTAGATGTAGAAGGCCGGAATGTTGAGATCCCCCCACCCCCACCCCAGTGGATGTCCGTGCCAGTGGCGTATCCAGAGGGGGGAGGGGCACTCTGCCCCCCCCCCCCGGCGGATTTTTGTCACAACATGTTTTGTTCAGCAATTATTTCAATAAATGGTTAGAGAGTTCTGACATTAATCCCCAAAAAGAAAACCCGCTCAAAAACCATCACAATGCGCCGTGAAAATGGGTCAATAATTTGCAGTATGCATAATAATGGTCAGTTTTGAAGAGCGCCTCCATTTGGAAGGTGGGTACCCCCCCCCCCCCCGCTTTTTTATTTTACGGAGGCCAAGTGTCCGGAGGGAAAAACATGTCTACAGTTTCGACGCGGATGTGCGGTTGCCCCCCCCCCCCCTCCCCCTGATGATTCAAAGCTGGATACGCTACAGGTCCGTTGCGCTCGGTCTATGCCTTGCGTCAACGCAACTTGTGAAACATTGTCCAATTACAAGATATATAAATGGACGCGGAACGCGCAAAATCTGAGACAAACAAAACTGAACGTACACAATTTCATAGGGTTGTCTAAGGGGCGCGGCTAACTCGCAAACGACGATAGGTCAATAGACATAAAGAACCTTTATGTCTATGGTCTATGGTACGTCCATACAGTAGTAACGCGCGCCCTCATGCGTCAAATCCGGACCATCATGTTAAAAACGTACATGTTCATGTTATTTTCAAAGTCACGCCCCCCCCCCCCCCACGAAAAGTGCATAATTATGAGTGTTGTGTTTTCTTAAAACATAGAGTACCAATCTGAAACTTCAACAGCTTGTATGGACGAGTTAATTTTGTTGTTCCATCTATCTGCTTTAAGCAGAACAAAATCTGTCAATGTGGTTATGGAATTTTAGTGGATAGGAACTAACTTTCTACATGGGCGGAGCGGCACAGCGGACATGCAGCATGCATGTAGCACTGTGGTTTGCTAGAGTGCAAATCCACACACGTGTCATGTGACAATATGAAATCATAATGAGTTTTACAGGTGGCGCCCTTCTACCTTAATTGCAATGTCAGTGTCGGTAAGCAAAGCATGCAGTGAACGCAGCGTACATATCGAGGTTTTGATCCGCAGTCCGGGAGTCGAGTTAGGGGGCGGGGACAAATCAATATTTCTTTTTAAGTGGCATTTCTTCATATTTATAAACCGTGTGTTATTACAATTTCCAGTTCTGCGTTGATTGTACCCCCTCTCTCTCCCTCTTTGCAATAAAAAGTTCTGGTTGAGATCTATTGATCGAGCAACCCTCAAATTTATTTCGTTTTGGAGATTATACCTGGTTGTGAATTATAGGTTTTGTTTTAATATCATTTATAAAATGATTAGGTAAATACACTGTGTTTATGTATGTTCCGAGAGACCCAGGAATTTAGTTTGTGTTACGTACGTCATAAAAATAGCGTCATTCTCACCAGACATGATACATAATAAGATTATAAGATTAAGATTGATTTATTCAGATCAGCCAATGATTAAAAACAATCACAGGAATTTGTAATGTTGGACTCGCAAAAAAGAATAATAATTAAAAATACAATACAATTGAACAAATAAACACATAAAATCATAGTACAAAACAAATGTTCAATTACAATAACTGTCATATACACTTTAAAATTTGAACCCGCACGGCTGAAGGTATAAAGCTATTTCGAAAATGGTCTGTTTTTGCATAAATTACGTCACGCTTTGCACTAATGACGTCACGCTTTGTTTACATGTCAGGTGCTCTTTTGAACAGACGCAATTGCACAGCAAATTGACCAATCAACAGCTGAGGGCGTATTTCTGAACGTAATGACGTCACAATTTTTTAAAAGCGGCTCCGATTGGATGACGCACTTGGTTGCATAAAATTTACACGCAGGGATATATCAAACGTTTGTAGTGTATATATTTGTTTAGTTCACATTTATTTCCATTCTGCACAGACAATTGAAATATACTAGAATTAACAATATATAAAGAAATTATACAATTGCCGGCACATACATGGAGGCATAGAGTCTGGAAGCCGAAGCTTGTATAGAGATGCCTTTAAAAAATAACGAAATACTGAGTGAAATGATGAGACATACAAATCAGACGGAAACTACAGACAAACAGACATACAGAATAACCAAATTGACGGATGAGACAACACAAACTGATTACATGGACATACGTAATCTGGTAAGAAACAATGTACAAAAGTTGCTGACGAAATAAAACAAAGATATAGTGTACAAGATTAAGAAAAATAAGTTATATAAGTGACCATAAATCTAAGGTTCAAAGTAGAGAAAAAAACCCGAAATTTTCAGAAGCTAAGTCACTTAGTGGGAGATGAGGACGTTCTTGTAGGAGGACTTGAATCCGCCCACGGACGACTGAGTCTTTTAAGTTCCATCAATACAAGGGCGGATCCAGGGGGGGGGGCCAAAGGGGGCCATGCCCCCCCCCCCCCCCAAAAAAAACGAAACCAATTTTTTTTTTTTTATGTGACATCACAATAAAGGCAGGCAATGAGTACACCACCATCTTTTCCTCAAAAAACATTGGTTAAAGTGGTCAGAAATTGCCTCAGATCGCACCACAGAGCATCTAGAATCCAACAATTTTTCGGGGTCCTTAAGCGGGCCCCGAACCCCACGCCGTAATTTTTGTGACCCACTTTTTTGGGGGACCAAAATTTTTTTTGGCCCCCTCCAAAATTGTGTTCTGGATCCGCCCTTGCATCAATAGATTTCCAAAGGCGAGGACCGTAGAATCTCAGATATGACGTGCGGGCCGCGAATGGTAAAAATTCGATTGTTTCGGGATCGAGTGCGATGGGAGTGTGTGTCGTGTACAGGAGTGAAGTAGAACGAAAGACAGAGGGTGTGGCTCTGCATATGTGAAAGATGATCCTCATCAGACTATAGGCCAAGTTCGGGCAAGGACCGTTAGCCGACTAGTGTTTGATTTGTGACGTACTTTACGCCTGCGCACTAATAGCAACGTGCGAACGTCCCGGGTGCGTTCGAGCGTGCTACTCGTGTAACACGAATATACTCCTGAGCGCACGAACAGCAGGAGTACGACCCGCGGGTTAGCAAGAGTATATACTCTCCGTCATACCGGGGGTATACTCTTGCACCAAGAGTAATGCGCACGCAACATTTTCCTGCACTCGGGAGTAGCAAGAGTAACACGCTCGAACGCACCCCTCTACTAGTCAAACGCCGGTCAAAATGTCATCGCAAAACTTCTGGATCCTGGCTCCCTGCTTATGAATGCGCGTGGCTATTGGTTACCAGCGATGCAACCAGCCCGTAGGTTGGTTCCAAATATTTGACTTGCGTAGTCAACCATCGTCGACTAGACAGAGTTCGGGCAAGCGTACGTCGAACTACGGTTAACCCCATTGGTCAACTGTAGTCCTTGTGCGAACTTGCCCTTGAGCTGGGGAGGGAAGCCACGAATCTCCAATTAACGGCGCACAAAGAAAGAAAAAAGTGTGACGTCATTATGGTAGCAGACCAGTAAATAAACTTCCATAGACCCCAATGGTAAATGCTCCCACTTCAAAAATTCGGGAAAAATACTCACAACTCTCCAAGGTGTTCGAGACACACATCAAATTAAAGCTTATTTCATCATCTTTCATTTTCTTTTCAATTTTCGGGGGGTCAACTGATGACTTTTAGGAGAAATTTCCATCTGAAGATGATCACCCCTGAAAATAGTCCTGAAGCCCATCGCCATTTTGAAAAACGATGCCTACACTCCATTGCAAAGTAGAGCGCTTTTAGGGTCCAAATTACATCAAAATTACACAGAACTGCAAGCTCCAAGTCCTGTGCACGGTTTCAACCCATATTTTTTACAAACCCTCAAGTTCATGGCCCACAGCATGCTCAAATACCGAAGATTTTGAGGGCATGCAAATCGTGATTTGGCCGGCGCAGGCAATTTCGGACCGATTTACTGGTCTGCACCCTATAAAGAAGCGAGGTTTTGAAAAATTTCTCCAAACCACTTGTACGGCACGAGGAAGGATAGATGACTCATATTTCATTAAAAAATTGCGAGAAAAAAAATCTCTGACTGTGATTTCTGGCCTGAAAACAAGCCCTCTGTTTGCGGCTACCTTACTGTAGGGCGCCCCCAACGGGCGTGAATTGAGTTTTTGCTCCGTGAATTGAGTTTTTGCTCCTTCCGGCCCCAAATTACCCCCCCCCCCCCCTCCTTGTTCGCTCGAAATTGCTGTGATCGGAGGACGGTCTATCGGCCCTATTCAGATTTTGGGCGCATTTGTTGCGGAACCGCCATTGATGACCCTTTTGAAACGCTGCCCCCCCCCCCCAGGTTCCGCCCCCCTGAAAAAAAAACCACTCCGCAAACATTTGACAACAAACGGTGGAAGGCGCCATTTTGAAACTATAAAGAAGCGAGGTTTTGAAAAATTTCTCCAAACCACTTGTACGGCACGAGGAAGGAGAGATGACTCATATTTCATTAAAAAATTGCGAGAAAAAAAATCTCTGACTGTGATTTCTGGCCTGAAAACAAGCCCTCTTTT